AAGCAGCATTGAAATGCACATCATTATGTAACCGCTCATCGGACTGTGAGAGAAAAAACTGATTGAGACTGTGTTAAATTTTGATTATCCTGCATTTGAATCTTATTTTGATTATCAATAATTTGAATTTGCCAGTCTATAAAGTTGTTAAGCCATATAGTTACTTTTGACGGCGCCATTTTGAATTTTGCCGCCATTTTGAAAACATAATCTATGTCCCTTTGTATAATTATTACACAATTGGCCTGTGACTACATCACAGGATCAGTTTCACAAATTTGTTAACTTTCTATACCACATTGATAGTGTATATATGTATGAATGCCTCCAAACTCTGACATTTATGACAATGCCATTTTGAATTTAGACGCCATTTTAATTAATTGTGTTTTTTTAAAGTTGAAAAAAATAATTATTGGCATATCTTAAATGCATTTCCTTAAATTTGTGATATCTACTGAACTCTTGCATATTGGTAGACTTCATCAAGTGTATGATGTTGTATTCCCATTACCTTATGTCGGCCATCTTTAACTTGGCGGCCATTTTGGGTTTTTTTTCATGGCTCCATATCTGAATTTTGTTTATACCCTTTAATCTTTCATTATGCCAAGTTTCATGCTTTTACCATAAAGTGCTCAATTATTCTTATATCCGCTGGACTAATATAACCTTTCAATAATCAGTTTTAATCTATATTATGAAGAAATTAGTGTACATTTCCTGTCCGACACAGAATTATTTGTGAATCAAAAAACATAAAAAAGACGAAACATGTCTCAATTCCTTTAATGCCTTTATTAAAATTTTGATGTTTTATAAATGTTTCGTTGACTTAAAACTTTCTCAATATATAGTTATTTTTTATTTCAATCCCACTCTAGGAAATGCAACTGAAAATAACACATTACATATCACTGATTTTATGGTTCTGGTCCTTCCTGGATCAAATAAGTACATGATTTATTTGAGATAAAGCAATATTAATCTAGTTTTATAGCTGATAAATAATTACTGTTCCCTATAGGTTACAATACACCATTAGATTTTATGGGCGCAGCCATTTTATGAGCATAACATGGTATTCAGAATTAAGAGTATAGCTAATCCTGATTGGTTGATATGTGCGCCCGTTATTTTTTGTAATTAGACACTTCGTGCATTCTGCATTATACCAAAGGCCAAATAAATTATTTTCCTTAGCCCTAACGGAACTGAGATGTCTTTTAAACGCTAGGATGAGACACGTATTTTTAAGTGCAAAATTGATAGGCATGGGAGATAAGTACAAATTACGCTAAGAAAAGCAACGCGAACCTATATTTTTTGGACCAAAAAATACTGTCCTAATAACTTTTCTTTAATTCTAGCAAGGTTTCGTTAAAAAAATCAGCTTTCTAAAGTCTGTATCTCGAAAAAGGCTATCATTGTCGCCTATGGGGAAATTAATTGTTTATTATAATCTATACAGCGTCGACATTTCTTTATCATAGTGCTCAAAAAGTGTCAAAAACAGTAATTTTACTTGATATTTGATGTGAAACCGTATTTTTTGGTGACAAATGAATTATTGATTAACTAGTTTTTAAGCTATAGTCTGTTTCATATTTGTATAGCGTTTTACCTTAGAAACAAGGGTGTGTTCGACTTTTGACTTACTGTGGAGAGAATATGTCATTTTCTGAACTTCTGCTGATTTGTTTGTAAAAAGCACATACACGTCTAGAGTTTGGATATACAAATCGATTTTTAAACATGACAATCTCGATCCAAGTGCTGTTATCGAAATTACCAAATTCAGTGAAAATGTACAGAAACGATCCCCTTCGAACATTGAAATGTTCACTCGAATGGCAGACTATAAAAATTAGAATAGGCATGACATTTCGTTGTTAACGAATAGTTTTCGATGTTTCAACACAAATATTTACACATTTTTCATATTTTGTAATGCTATAGTCTGTTTCAAAAATGTACTTTTATACGAAAATGGTTTCATTTAAAACTGTTGTTCAAAATTCACCGTAGTAGTTACATATTGGATCGGTTTTGGTATCAATATAATCAGTACTTGATGACATATAAAGAATCATTGGAGAAAGTGGACATTATCTTCAGGCCCTTTTTAGCAGTACCGCATTTACTAAAAAAATCAGAAATTTTTTTTTCACATTTTTTGACTGGGGTTACCTCTGATAAAAAATTGTGAAAATTCAGAGAGTAATGCCAGAACGTTTTGAAGATGATTTTTGTGTGGCATATATATTTATGCATCTAACGAACTATGAATTGCATGATTCTAGAAAGTATTAAATAGCGTATAGGTTACAATACACCATTAGATTTTATGGGCGCAGCCATTTTATGAGCATAACATGGTATTCAGAATTAAGAGTATAGCTAATCCTGATTGGTTGATATGTGCGCCCGTTATTTTTTGTAATTAGAGACTTCGTGCATTCTGCATTATACCAAAGGCCAAATAAATTATTTTCCTTAGCCCTAACGGAACTGAGATGTCTTTTAAACGCTAGGATGAGACACGTATTTTTAAGTGCAAAATTGATAGGCATGGGAGATAAGTACAAATTACGCTAAGAGAAGCAACGCGAACCTATATTTTTTGGACCAAAAAATACTGTCCTAATAACTTTTCTTTAATTCTAGCAAGGTTTCGTTAAAAAAATCAGCTTTCTAAAGTCTGTATCTCGAAAAAGGCTATCATTGTCGCCTATGGGGAAATTAATTGTTTATTATAATCTATAGGTGCACCAAAGAAAGATATTTATCAACATACTTATCTTCTAAACTACAATATTGTTATATGATGAAAGAAGTTTAGTTATATAAAAAAAAAGAATTAAGTTGCAATGTGTGCAAATAACCTCGATAAAAATACTGCTCAACTGTCAAAATCAGCTGTTCACCATGGCTCTAATTTGAAACTGACTATATTTTCTGAAAACACTAAATGTCTATTGTAGTAGGTGTATACACAAAAATGAAAGTAAACAAAAACAGTCTTCTATTTGACAAGAAGAATTTTTATTAATTCTAAAGTTACCAAAGGATAAATATCGATTAAATAAAAAGCAGTAATAACATCTGAATAAGATGATTATGCTGTAAATATGAAAAAATCATTACGTATAAAACAAACAATTGTGCGAAAGTGAAAACAAGTATGTCCTAGTTTCGTGGTAAAATATATGCCGGGAAATACGAATGAAACGAATGAATGAAGGCTAATAGTGTTACGATCTATAATCTTTGTACAACATTGCCTCTAGCCAAGAAAAAAATATTTTGTCCCAAAAATGGAATAAAATATAACTAAAATTGAGAATGGAAATGGGGAATGTGTCAAAGAGACAACAACCCGACCACAGAACAGACAACAGCAGAAGGCCACCAACAGGTCTTCAATGCAGTGAGAAATTCCCGCACCCGGAGGCGTCCTTCAGCTGGCCCCTAAACAAATATATATACTGCATGCTTTCATTTAAACATATGGAATGAGAAACACATTATATATATTCAAGAAATAATCATCACAAGCACATGTCTTTCATTCATGCAAACGTAAAATATTTTAATCCCCTAATGCGCGCAAATGAAATGAGCTGAATTTTATATACCAAAGTGGTGATGCAAGAACTTAAAACGCGACTATTGAGATATACAAAAAAAATGGATTTTGACATTTAAATATCCAGGAAAGAGTTAAACGTTTTACAATTTTGATAGACCTGGTTAGTTCAGTTGAATATTGCTTATCAAATTAATATTAAATTTCGATAACAGGGAAATTGTCATTCCATTATGTTGATTTGCATTGCAGTTTATTAACATTTATTGTTTTTTATTGTATCAAGTCATATTCAATTTATTTCATATTAATGATCTCGGAATTCGTATTAAATTTCAGGTGTCCGAATTATTCATTTACTCCTTGAACTTGTTCGATTATAAATTTATATTTGTTCAATACTTATGGTTGACTTTTCAATAATTCTCTTTGATCAGCTATTAGTATGTATGATAAAATGACAGGTAAGTAATTCGTGTTGATTACCGGAAATAATCTGTTATCAAAATTTTACAAAATAACCATTACAAACTTTGTAGTTAGCAAATGTTATTTGTTAGTCAAACGAAAGAAAAAAAAATATTTCAGGGCTGCGTTCGGACTTTCCTATGTAAGCAGATTTGTTGTTTATGGTTCAAATTGACAGATTTGTAATATAGTTTCAGATCGAATTTGCGACGTTTCGTGATGAAATTGCTAAAATGTCTTTGAGTGAGATACCCGTCTGTGGGGATGATATAGAAAATTGGGAAACCATTTTTTTTGACGTCATCAATTTATGAACTAAACAACACGAACAAGTAACATCCGGTTAGATGTTACGTAATCAATTTATGAAATATTTGGTTTTGATTCATGAATGACCAATATATGAGATATTGGGTTTCGACTTAATGGACGGGAATCTAGCTGGCAGTTCATTTACATTCAAGTTACCACTCCAGTACAATAAACATAAACGAATTGGTAAAAATCCAAATGCTTTAATAAATCCAAACATAAAAATTAAAAAGTATTAAAATCCATTTAATAAAAACAAAAAATAACACATACTTTTACATCTAATCCTAACATTTTCCATGATTAAATTAATATTTCGGACACTTTAAATAGAATGTGAATTTCGAGATCATAATAATGAAACGAACAAAATATGACTAGATACAATACAAAAGTATACGTTAATAAAATGTAATAGAAATCAACATGATTGGATAACGGATTCCCTGTTATCGGAATTCAATATCAATTTGATAAGCAATATTGTACTGAACTCACCATGTATATTAAAATGTATTAATGTCAAAACTCAAGTTTCAGCCCAATTTTCAAAAGTCATGATTCAAGTTCTTGTATGATTACTTTTGAATATAAAATGTAGCACAACAATACAATATCACAGAAATATTACCTTACTTATCTTAGAGTGCGCTGTTATGATAAATCTGGCACGCCGTAGACATGGTAGAGGAAGAACATTTTGTGTAACTGCTGCACCTGTTTCAATCGATGAGTCTATTAAAATGATTTAATTGTCAGTACTGTTACGGAAATCCACAGTTAATGTAATCCTGAGTTAACGTAATTTGATTGGATAATGGCAATTCATAAAAATGTTGTGTTGATATTTGAAATCAGTGATCCGATAAAAGAAGAAGGTCAAACTTAGGACAATCGTGAATGATATGAATTACACATAATTCATCAGTTATCAGAAAAGGAATTACAAAAAAGAGATAACTTTCTTTGAACAATATTCAGGAATATTGTTTAAATCATGTGCAAAAGGTGCTCCAAAGAAAGATATATTTTCGTTATGATGGCATAAATCATCGACATGTTTATGCAAGTAAATGTGTTTTGATGAGTGTGTCCTTTATTCAAACATGTACATGTGATTTACATTACTAATCCGATGACAAAATAGAATATTGTAAAGTACATTGAAGGCTTATTTAACTATGTAATTATCAACACACTTCTGTTCTCAACTACAATAGTGTTATATGGTGAAACAGGTTGAATTGTATAAAAAAAATGATGAAATAAATAAGTTGCAATATTGTGTGCAAATAACCTCAATAAAAATTCTGCTCAACTGTCAAAATCAGCTGTTCAATGCTCTAACTTGAAACTGACTATATTTTCTGAAAACGATAGAATCAACACACTCTGTATGAAGTAAGTGTGTACACAAAAATGAAAGTAAACCAAAACAGTCTTCGAGTTGACAAGAAGAATTTTAGTTAATTCTGACGTTATCAAAGAATAAATATGGATTAATTAAAAGCATTAATAACATCTGAATAAGCTGATTATGTACAAATATAAAAAAAAATCATTGCGTTTAAAACAGACAACTGTGCGAAAGTGAAAATAAGTATGATCTAGATTCGCCGTAAAATATATGCCGGGAAATACGAATGAAACGAATGAATAAAGGCTAATTGTGTTACAATTTATAATCTTTGCACACAACACCGCTTCTCGTCAAGAAAAAAAAATCTGTCCCAAGAATTGGAATAAAATATAAATGCATGCTTTAATTTAAACATATAGAATAAGAAACACATAATATATATTCAAGCAATAATCATCACAAGCACATGTCTCATTCATTCAACATATAATTTATCGAAATATTTTCGAGTTAATTCTACTTCTTTGAGGTAGCCAATGCACTAACGGAACTTCTAATCTTTGTGGATTTGTGCAGATTCTCAGTTTCATCTTTCGTTATTTTTTAGGAGTCTTCTTTCAGTTCCGAATTTCGATTTTGCGATGAAAAATCCTAAAATTTAGTTTTTTAATTTGTTTTTACGTGTTGATTTATTTTCTGTGAACTAAGTTTCCAATTCCAAAATGTTTGATCTTTTTGATCATCCTTTTTTTTCTCGCCTGCCACGGAAGTCGCAGTATGCGAAACTTATAAGGATTACTATCCGGCGGCGGTGTAAATTATTTGTATAAAGCTTTATTATTCAGAAGGTAGAAAATGGATGCTCATACCTTTAAAAACAGTCAATTCTCGACCAGTTTCATGCACTCACGCATACATATTTCAAAAATTCAGATGTATGGTTCTTACCGACCCATGATAGGCTCTTTGATATCATTTGTAATTATTTTGGACACAACTATCAAATTTTAACTTTCATAAAATTTGGGAATAGTAATTTAATCAGCCAAAGAACCCAATTATAATCCTTGAAAAGAAGTTGTTGTGATTTTACAATTCTGATTGATGAGTTTTATGATTACAGATGATTAAACACATCTGGTTAGACGTGTTAAGAAAGTCAATACGATTTTGACGCTGATGTTAAATAGGCTAGTATATTGGGGACCTTCTCAAAAAGCACAGCTAATAATTCATTATAGTTACCTGTATGGGTTTGTTTGATAAGGCTGAGATGATTTTTAAACATTAAAATAATCACAATATATTCCGTAATACACCGAGGAGGATCCAGCAAAATAACACGATCATTATTAATATGATTATCATAAAATTGCATTGTTTCATAGTAGTGATCGTTTTAGTTTAAGATCGTTGTTCCCCCACTTCTTACTATTTTGTTGAACGACTACAAGGATAATCCGAAAAGTGATCAAAATAAATGAATAAAAAAACACTGCAAACAAATCACATCCGAATCCGATTTTTTACTCTACATCAACCTTTGTATAAAATGTTCGTTTATTTGAAATATACTTTTCATGTCGGGGCCTTTCTTATCTTTTATGCAGGATGGGTTTTGCTCCTTGTTGAGGGCCAAACGATGACGTGTAGTTGCAGACATTAACGTCATTTGGGTTCTGTTGGAAATTTGTCTTCTTTGGCAATCATACCACGTCTCCTTATTCTATATCATTTTCTAGAATAGGGAAATGTGTAGCTTTAAATTCTCATAAAAAAACTATAAATTTGTGTACTTGACAATTTAAAAAAAAACCCCGAATAAAACAAAAGCGAATTCAATTATCTTTATCTTTTCATTTTCTAAGGTTCTGTTGGAAATTTGTCTTCTTTGGCAATCATACCACGTCTCCTTATTCTATATCATTTTCTAGAATAGGGAAATGTGTAGCTTTAAATTCTCATAAAAAAAACTATAAATTTGTGTACTTGACAATTTAAAAAAAACCCGAATAAAACAAAAGCGAATTCAATTATCTTTATCTTTTCATTTTGTCTAGAAAGGTCACTCTGGCAATTTAATGTAATGCTGAAAAGGGACAATACCTAAAAGACGTTAAAACGTGTGAATTAATTATTTTAATTTACATTTGTACTGACATGTTCTTTCTATCAACTTTTGTCAGTCAGTTTTTCGGACAAAAAAAGGTTATCGAATTAAGTTTTAAAAGATTACTACATTTGAGCACTATTCAAGCATGTTAAATTTACGTTTCGGTGAAGGTTCGGAACTTTTTTTCTTGGCTTCCTCCACCAACAAAACAGAGCACCACGATTTAGTTAAGATATTGTTGAAAGTGGCGTTTAACTTTCATATGTAGAAGTTGATTTTATTATCGTTGGGTCAGGAGGATATTTTGAAAATGGAATATTCATTGTCACCTCTTGCAAACCTGCTAAATTATATGTCGGGCAACTTTTTTTTCGATTTCTTTCATTTTTAGTTTTGCCTCACATTCACTATCTACTCCGCTTTCTCAATTGGACGATATATAGTGATGAGTGGATTGGTCCATCCGTCCATTCTTTCGTTCATTCGTCCTTATGTCCTTTCATTGCATTCATACCCAGATAGTAGTATACTAAAGTATAGAAAAAAGAAAATGCAAAAGCTAAATAGAAGAATTTACGAATGTCAAGTTTATGTCGAACACGCCATCAGACGTTTAAAACATAAAGGGTTGTCGGAACACTGTGGAGACATCCAGGACACGAATCAAATCAAATTGTTGAATTATATGCTGGACTTGTGGAGAGACAAACTTAGTTATTTGACTATTAAACATATTCTACTCATATCATTTAATGTATATATTTGGACTTGTGGCCGTAAAATCCGTCATTCCCATTCTTGACCCTTACATATATTTTTTTTTTAAGTTTTTTTTTTACACTCCTAAATCAAACAAATACAAATGAATGTATAAAGATCTACGAAAGGCCAATGCATTTTGAGAAAGTCCACACTTAAATCTTGTATCGGTATTGTTATTTAACATCAGCGCAGTATGTAAATCCCTTTCCTAACACGTCTATTAAGATGGCTACATATGGGCATGTATAAACAGAGAAACAAAATGTTGATGAAATGTTGATTTAAAACGATGCTGACATTAATCTAGTCGGTTATACTTGCAACACAGCTCTTTAGAAAGCTTCAGTAGTTATGTGGAAATTGTTGCAATTCTCATTTCAAAAGGTCCTTATGTGCATTTGGGGGTCATCGTTACATTCTGCACGCAGGAAAGGTTACCGACATATCGTTGAGCTCATCATAGATCACGGTGTCGATATCAATAAAAGAGACAACACAATTGACTGCTTTTGATGGTATGAAGCATCCATTTCATATTAGTTTCGCATACTGAACTCCTCTTTTGATAGCATGTTCAAATGTACAGGAAGTTCTTGTTTATTTTCATTTGGGTAAATTTAGTGAAAGTTATCATAGCCATAATATGGGAGATACTCCCCTCTCAGCGGCATGCCGGAGTGGAGTTAAGATCTTTGTAGAGAAGTGTTAAAGTAATGGAGCCAATGTAAACAAAGCCTCAGCGAATGGATGAGACGTGCTCATATCGGCTTGCAAAGTTGGTTTTAAAACAATCACTTATTTGCTTATCAAGGATGACGCCAAAATAAATACCACCAACAGTTGCTCTACCCCACTTGTGTTTGCATGTGAAAATGGTTGTACAAAGTTAGTGTTATCGTTTAAAAAAAAAGGTACCAATATATTTTTTAAGTTACCATATATTAATTGTCTACTCTTTTGATAGCTTGTGAGAAGGAACATGACGAAATAGTAACATTACTTCTCCACAAGATCTCAAATGCAAATTTGTCCGACAGTAAGGGATTTACACCGTTGTCATTAACATACCGTACGGGGCATGAAAGACTTTATAATTATTTGATTGATAATCAAGCAAATGTTAACCAGGCAACAAAAGATGCATTTTTTATTTGAGCACGGGTATTATTCAATTATAGATGCACTCATAAATAAAGGAGTCAATATCGAAGTGACAAATAACGAAGGATGGGCACATTTGATGATAGGCTGCCAATACTGACACACTGAAATTGAACACAGAAAATAATGTGTTTCATACTATATATATTTAGGAATTAATATTTCGGAAAATTCACAGAGGCAAAAAAAATCTTTATAATAAAGCATGTAAATCCAATTACAAGTTGAAAAAAGGTTTGACATGTTTAAATTCGTCTGTTCGCACACTATTACATTTGTTTGAACACATCATTAAGCCAATAACCCTTTATGGCAGTGATATATGGAGAATACTCAATCTTACTGAAAAGAAAAAAAGGCCAGGAAATATATGACCTTTATATAAGGATTGGGATTGTGAAGATCTTCTTATAAGGTTCTGCAAATATGTTCTTGGTATCAACAAAAAACTTACCCATATTTCAGTCAGTACTTGCATCTCATATATCCCAGTGAACTTGAAATTAAGGATACTACTGATACAAGAAGGACTGCTTCATACCTTGATCTTTTCCTCAATATTGACACAGATGGACGACTTCACACTAAAATCTATGACAAACGGGATGATTTCAACTTCCCAATTATCAATTTCCCATTTCTCAGCAGTAACATACCCTCTGCTCCGTCATATGGTGTTTACATATCTCAATTGATACGTTATGCTCGTGCACACTATACTGACTTCATATACAGGAGTGTGCTCCTTACGCAGAAACTGCTCCAACAGAGTTGTGAGGAGGAAAGATTAAAAATGACACTCCGAAAATTTTATGGACACCATCACGAATTGGTTGATCAATACGATGTGTCTGTGTCTAAACTAACTAATGACATTTTTACCACGTCTTAGATTGTGGTTTAACATCTATGTCGTCTGTCTTCTAAGTACCGAACGTGACCTATTCCCGAATATGACTGTTATACCGAGTGTGAATTTGCATTGCTAAGCCTATACGACGTGCCTCGGTATTTTGTACATCCAACATTTATGTATTTATTTTTGATGTTTCTGTTATGGTTTCGGTTGGATAATGTGTTATGTCTTATCGTTTGTAATCCAAATAATTATAAAATAGCCTTTCAATACCATCATTGTCATGAAAATTGTTTGGACTGGTATTGTGAAAATAATTGTATAAAGTTCGAAATTGCATGTTCGTTACGTAAGTGCGTCACTGTTTGTGATGTCCTGTGGTGTCTGTCGTTGATGGAAGATGTTCGTTGTTGTTCTGCGGTTTGCATGTTGTGTCGACTATTATATTATTTGTTTGTGCGTTTCTCTGTGATGAGTGTTCTTGCGTGTATTTGTGTTGTACTTCTGTTACGTAGTGTTGTCATTTTAGCGACGTTTTTTAACATTGTAATATAAGCAGGAGGTTTGGCTAGCCATAAAACCAGGTTCAACCCACCATTTTGTCTTAAAATGTCCTGTACCAAGTCAGGAATATGGCAGTTGTTATCAAATAGTTTGTATCTATGTATGTTGGCGTTTGTTTTTGTTGCACTTCAGTGTTCCTGTTGTTCCTTTGTTTTCCTCTTATAGTTGGTATGTTTCTCTCGGTTTTAGTTTGTAACCCGGATTTGTTTTTTCTCCATCGATTTTTTGTTGAAAATTTGCTCAAAATTATTATTTAAAAAAAGTAGATTTGAAGAATAAAAACCTGCAGGTTATTTTTTTCGATGAGAAATTGTAGGATGAAAATTATTGTATATTTTGATACTATTGTCTTTTTATTATTTCTGTCGTTGATTTGCTGTCCCTAATCATTAATGTATTCATATCTTTTATTACATTTCAATTCTAGTATTGAAGATCACACGAAGAACATCGACATGCCAGTTCAAGCAGCAAAAATTTAAATAGTGCTTCATATTATAGTTTCAATCTTTTTATTACGCTTAAATTGTTCATTTTTAAGTATTCAATGGAGACTTATTTTGGAAATGAAGACTCTAAATAGACTTTATTCAGCAAGTATGTAAATAGAAAATAGACATATCAAAGTTAACTTTACAGCAGTGGTTTTTGCATAAAGTATCAACCATCTTTCTTTCAGATTTAGATGTAGATGGATGATGGTTGATTTAATTTTATCGTCCAGTGGCAAATAGCACATGCATATAGGACGAGAACATATTAATGATATATGAATATAAAACCTGCTTTGTACAAGACCGAAAATCCTGAAATTGGTATGCGTTGTTCACAAGGTAACATCAACATGAAGACATGTCATCTGGTTTGGAGACGTTTTTCTGATTCCGTGTGGAATATCGTTGCCCCGTATTACTAAATGCAAAGTTTTTGGCGTAGAAACACCAAATGCCGATTTTGAATTTGGTTTGACACATGCTTTGGTCGAACCTATGACCTCCAGGCCACAAGGCAAGCTCTTTACAAATACATAATATGGTGCTGTTTACCTTTTAGAATTGGAAATGATAATATCTTGAAAGAAAGGTAAAAACGGAATAAATTAGCAATTTGGATGCATTTGATATGACTCAATTAGATTAAATTGTAATATATTAAACATCCCTTAACAAAGACTTTTGATGTCGAAATAACGAACCGCCGACTTATCTCTTAAGATCAGTTTTATTTATATTATCAATACAAACACAGCCATTAACATAAACTTTCATTGTATTTCAAGATATATTTATCTTACAAAATTAAAAAAAAATCAGATTTACATGACAATATAGCATAATTAAATGTCAATATTTATTTGCGCTTTTCTATTTTGCAACTAAAATGGAGCGTTTTACATAAGAAATGAACACCATGTACACCAATGAATCATTAATTAAAGATTCAGTAGGTTACCGATGTGCAAGTTTCGTAAATCGATTACGAAGCGACAAATTAAGTTAACAAGCAAAACCTAAGGTAATCGTATGCACTCTCAAAGGTGCGTGACCGGATGCGTCTATAGGTAGGCGAATCCTGCAAAGCATGTATCACCAGCCAATCGAATCCATACTTAGCCAAAATGTCACAATCGGGAAACGGACACAAGGTAAAATTACACATCAGACGACTAAACTTGTATCTAAAGATTTGAGGCCATAAAAATATGTCACTAGTGAGTTGACACACCAACACATCGTATTGTGTCAACCAATTCGTAATGGTGATCGTAAAACTTATGTAGCGTCGATTTCAATCGGTCTTCCTCATAACTCTGTTGGGGCAGTGTTTGTGTTACGAGCGCATCCCTATTTATGAAGGCTTATAGTGTGAACATGGACAAATTTAACGTATTTACAGAGATATTAGAACGCTATACGATAGAATAAAGGTTTATCTTGTTGTTGAAAAATTAGAATTTGACAACTGGAAAGGTTAAATCATCACGATTGTCATAGATTCTAGTTTGAAGTAGTTCATCTGTGTTAATATCAAGGAAAAGATCAAGATATGAATCTAGCCTTTTAGTTTCGGTAGTATCCTTAATATCAAGTTCTTTGGGATATATAAGAAGTAAGCGTTCATTGAAATGATGACTATTTAAAAACAGGACATCATTAAAATATTTGAAAGTAAAATTAAAGAACTTTTCTAGAAGACTTTTAGTTTTTTTGTCTTTGAGCAGTTTCTATATAAAACTTCTGCATCTTATGAGTATAAAACAAGTCTGTCAGGAGTGGTGCTCATTTAGTACTGATCGGAATATCGACTGTCTGCTGAAATATAAATACACCAACCTGAACAAATATTTTATTGATAAAAAAGTCCAGTATGTTGATGATGTCGTCTTCGGTTATGTTTCATAAACAAACGAGAGGCGAAAGATACCAAAGAAATATTCAGGAAGATAAGTCGAAAACGAACTGACAATGTCATGGCAAGAAAAAAAAAAAAAACAGTATACAAAACGCAACATAAAAAACTAAAGACGTAGCGACTTCAACCTATAAAAAAACGGGGTGAACTCAGGTGATCAGGAAGGGTAAGCAGATGTGGCAACCGTCGTGTTGCTCCTGACAGTACGTATACAAACCCAATAGATTATTCGGTACGTCACATTCAAGTTTTGGTAACAATAAAAAAAAATCTAAAATAGCACATCACTAGTTTCGCTGGATTTCTTTATTCTCTAAATCATGTTTTTGTGAATTGAAACGATCTAGTCGTTATAGTATTCACATGTCGATGACATATTCATAGACAATAAACGAACATTCTTGATATGACTACATACAAAAATTAAAGTATACAAAAATAAGGACATGTGGTATTATTGCCAATGAGACAACTATTCACAACAATTCATATGATCATATGATAGAGAAATATATATCAATTATAGGTCACCGTGCGATCTTCAACAATAAGAAAAACCCATACCGTATAGTCAGCTATAAAGAATCATGAAAATCGTAAACAAATTCAAACAAGAAAATTACGGCCTAATTTATAACTATACATAAAGGCAACAGTAGTATACCACTGTTCGAAACTCATAAATCGATAGAGATAAAAACAAATCCGGGTTACAAACTAAAACTGAGGGAAACGCATCAAATATAAGAGAACAACGACACAACAAAAACACAACATTAAAATGTATACTCACACAGAAACGAACTATAATATAACAATAGCCATTTTCCTGACGTGGTACAGGACATTTTAAGAAAAAAATGGTGGGTTGAACCTGGTTTTGTGACATGCCAAACCTCCCGCTTTTATGGCAACGCCAAACACAACACCAACACGACAACATTACACGACAGGACCACAATACAAATAAATGGGAGAACATATAGGACAAGAAACACACGAATAATAGCTGAAAAAAGGTACTAGGCTTAAAATTCAATACGCCAGACGTGCGTGTCGTCCACAATTTACTAAAAACTCATATGAGCATTTGATAATGTTTATGCAAATTATTGTTTGGATCCAATCAAATTAAGCTTAAGGTTATCAAGAACACTGTGATTGCTGTCTTCGGCATCCAAATATTCTTCCTGATATTCTTGACATACAGGCATCCATGTAGTACTTGGTTTTAAAGATGCCTTGATTTTCTGCAAAGAAGATACATTAAAATAAAAGACACGCTTTGTTTACAGTTTGTTCCCTTTATCTGAGTAAGTTGTAGTGTGGAAACTCATAGTTATCTGGTTACCCAAATCACGGTGTGAGAAATACTACATTGAATAAAATCCATGTTTTCTAAAGATATTTGTCCAACTCTCACAAACAAGATTTGAAGAGCACCAGCATATGGTATATATTTCTCCCTGTTGATACAATATTCTAGGGCTTACATTTCCTATAATTTTTCCATAATATATTAATGACATTAGCAATAATCGTCACATCCGGTCGTGTACTATTGTACTATAAAACATTGTGGACTTTAATTGATTTGAACAACACTGTCTCACTTCCAAATGTAAAACCAAAACAAAACACATGTAACATTGTATTTACTAACACTTTAACTAACAAACCTTACTTAACATTAGCTACGGTGATCAAAATGTAAATCAACAAATCGAGTCTAGGAATTAGAGTGTAACCTTTGTGGGTTGGTATATGTCGGTGAAACGAAAAGAAGGCTTAATAAGTTACACTATTGTTTCAAGTAGGGTAAAGGTTGACGTCTATTAAAACGTTTAAACCCGCTTTATTTGTTTTCACCTGTCATATGTCAGGAACCTGATGTTCAGTGGTTGTCGTTTGTTGATGTGGTTCATAAGTGTTTCTCGTTTCTCGTTTTTTATATAGATTAGACTGTTGGTTTTCCTGTTTGAATGGTTTTACACTAGTAATTTTTTGGGCCATTATAGCTTGCTGTTCGGTGTGAGCCAAGGCTCCGTGTTGAAGCTTTGACCTATAATGGTTTACTTTTACAAATTGTGACTTGGATGGAAAGTTGTCTCATTGGCACCCATACCACATCTTCTTATATCTAATTAATAAGCATAGATCAGATAGTAGCCACAATGTACATGACATTGTTTATCAACAGTTTAATCAGTCTTATCATTAAATCCTACATCGTCATGATACATCACTTACACTCCATGATGTCTCTATGACCTTGTGCTATTTTTATAGAAGCAGCTGTGTATTCATTACAAAGCGTTATTCATTACCCCTTCCAAAAATATATGTCCTTTACAATTTATGCATGGAAACTACTGTGAGAAATCCCTATTTAAACCAAAAAAAATATATAGCTATCATCTCGGATATTGCCAGTCACAAACTCTCCAGACCGGTTCGCATTGGAAAAAAGAAAACAGCGAAAAGATCATTTCCGATACATTCCTTTGCTAACAAAGGTTTCGATGCCATGAACTTAACCAATATCCTACATCATAAATCATTTCAATCTAAAATACCTCAATACTTTAAAGATCAAGACTGTTCGTATCCTCTCTTATACCAATACCAAACCAATTGCAACTAAAATTGTCAATTATAAACACATGTTGCCGGTTCTTTATATAAACGACTTGAAGTCGTAACCTCTTGACTGCAACTGTGCTAGTTCCAAATTTATATACTGTGGATTTATTATTATTCTTGAGGTACTAATATTTCGTGAATTTCTTGTGTATACGTGAACCACGAATCTAAATGTTCAAAAAAGTACAGATTTTGTTTAGGCTTGTATGTAGACGTTGGCAAAACCACGAAGTCAAATATCAACGAAATAACAATTATTCCTCAATTCACGAACATTGGTACCCACGAAAATATATGAATCCGCAGAATAAATCGACGGGCCACGTGATTACCGGAGACCTAAACATTGGCATTAACAATTCTCTGCGAAACATTTTATGTTATTCAAAAGTCAGAAATATAGTGAGTCTAAATCCATCAATTGTTTACACAATCATGCCACATTTTCTTTATTTTATTTTATAAAGGTACTCTGATTTGAACACATTTTATGCTAAAGCTATCAGTATAAAAATGCTTTATGTCTTGATGGAAAACGTATTTTGTGTAGAAGACGCGTTTTTCAACAAACAATCGGCATTCCCAAGAGAACCAATTGTTCCACTTGCCAATTGTTTACTTTATTCGTATGAGACAGCCTTCATACAGGAGCATTTTCTCTTAACTTCACGATCCGCTATATAGATGATGTCCTCTCACCACATTATTTAAATTGCGGTGACTATGTTGAACGCCTCTTTCCCATCAAACTTGAAATAAAGGATTACACAATAACAGTTACGGCATTTGCCTCATATCTTGACTTACATATATAACTTAAAAATGAGGACGTTTGAGAATACACTTTACGACAAAATTGATGATTTCAGGTTTCAAAATTGTTAACTTTTCATCCATATGTAGCAACAACATTCCAGCAGCGCTTGCATGTGGAGTATATATCTCACAGTTGAAACGATATTCCAGAGCTTGTATTTCTTATCATGATTTCCTCAATAGAATACTGTTTACAATGGAGCTATAAAACTAAATGGTGAAGTTGAAGTCATTCCTTTGAATGTTTTACGAACGCAAGCACGAGTTGGTTGACCGTTATGGAATATCTGTCTCACAGATGACGACAGATATGATCCAATTGTCATTACTACACTCCCGTCCTATTTTCCTCGAATGAGACATAACCAAATTAGACTGATCACCATATTTATACTAACATGATCAAGACGACGGTTGCCACATGTAGAGCAGGATCTGATAACCTTTCCAGAACACCTGACATCACTCCTAGTTTTGATCAAAAGGGGTTCGTGTTGCGTTTGCTTTTGTTTTAAGTGTTGTTCTTTGTGGTCTTTAAATTTCAATGTCGGTAATAATTGTGTCTATTCTATACTATGAAATGTATTTTAAGGTCATGGAACAGTAAATGGAATATGTCACAGATTTTGTTAGAATTGTGTTCTTTTAACTATAACTGAAAATCGAAAATAATGCATTAATCTTTGTGTTTTGAAATATTATCGATTTAATTCTCTCAAATATCTGTATAGAAAGCACATAGAATTGGCGAAAAACGTTCATAAATTTGTCTTTAAATCATAAGTTCTATAATTTCAAATTCATTGATTTTTCTTACCCATAATGAGATGTTTGATGTTTTAAGGAGCTTATCAAATTCATTAATATCATTAATTATACTTATGTGGTATGTTATATGTTGTTGATAAATTTCCGTTTTAATGATATAAAATTAACCTCATTAGTTGATATTTTTGGCGGAAGTACATGTGATACATCCTCATTCTTTCAATATCCAAGCTGTGGGATGGTCGTGCTCCACGTGTTGCCGGCAAAGTAATTATATTCTTTAACTTTTACTTACATTTGCCTTGGTGGCAATATAGCCTTGATGGCTTTAAGACCTTGGTGGTCATTTATATATGCCTTGGTGGCAATAGACCTAGGTGGTCATTTTTATAATTTTTTACATTTGTCTTGGTGGCAACATTAAATAGAAAATACTAGCCTTGGTGGCTTTAAGACCTTGGTGGTCATTTATATTCGCCTTGGGGGCTTCTTAATAGACCTAGGTGGTCATTTTTTACCTTGGTGGTGAAATGTTTTGGGAGTTAGACCTTGCCATGGGTAGATATTATTAACCCAGGTGGTCAGATATTTGGTATGCTGTGCGTCGAGTAAACGGCGGTCAAAGAGCTATCGCGTTAAAATATTTTATGTATAATTGGACTTTGTTAAAATATTTTATGTATAATAAGACTTTGTTAGAAAAGAATAGTAAGATTGAGAAAGTGAAAGCATTTAGTGTGAAATTACATGTCACTTGGTATTAGTTTTGTTGGCTGGAGTGATGTGTATTGAATTATAAGGTGTCTTCGTCGAGGTCCGCGTTCAGCGGTCTGTTTGAATGTACATAGAATATGAATAGAATGTTTATGTTTTCAGATCATGGGTGTTACTGACAAGCTGATGTATGAAGGAGAAGCAATATGACATTGCACGATAATTCATGTCAATGAGTTCGATCAACCTTAAAGGACAGGATTTTTCTGATCAGAATCTGGTGAGTAAAAATTCCATGTTTAAGCAATGATTTGATTTCAGAAAATATAATAATATAAAAAAGAAATGGTGTAAATATAGACATAACACTAAATTATGTTTTTCTTTTTTGAAGAGAAAGGCAGAAGATGCCAGTATGGCACGATACTTGAGTTAAAAAAAAAACTGTGATGGAACAGCTTTATGTTTAACTGAACGTATTTAAAAGTAATTCTAAAAATTTGTCCCTAATTTTGAGATGTTTATTATAGGATTTGTATATAATTTCCTTGATGTGTTGAAAGATGTCACAAAAATCTGTTTGACTTGGAAGATTAATTGTTGCAATATTTTTGTTTTGTTTTATTTACTAAACATAATGTTGAATGATTTTGTATACCAATGTATACTAAAATTTTATGTATGGTGAAATTTTTTAATTTAAATTTCTTTTTCTACAGTTCGAGGGACACTGATTCCCTAGTGGTTTTCCACGTGGGTTGTAGAGAGATTTTTCCTTTTTGAAGAGTGACTAATGCTGTACAAGTACAAATAAACAAGTTGTTATTGGTTAATATATTTTCAGCAGAGTTGAGAAGAATCAAATGGAAATACAATTGTCAATGTTCCTGATTGGGAAGTAAAGAGTGAGTTTGATCCAACAACAGTAAAATAAGCGACAAGCCAGCATAGTTGACACTTGGAGGTGAAGTCCCTTTTCTTACAACAAGCTTTCATCATGCTGAAGATGTGATTCAAATAATGTTCATTTTGATATGAGTTCATTGCATTAGCGGGACTTTATAAGTTTGTATGTGGTCGAATTCATGAGAACTTATTGAATTGTGAAACTATTTATAAAGAACTGTGTACACGTATCTTGAAATTGTTAGTAGCATTGTAAAGAAATAAAAGAATAATATTTAATAAAAGTGTTGAAGACATTTTTGTTTTGAGTTTTGGGAATACTATTCCTTAAGAGAAAGCCTTGCTAATGGTGTTATTTGAGATTGGCATGCAAATATGCTGTATGGACAACAGAGTTTTCTATGCCCATAACTAAACATGAACTGGATGCAAGATTATATCAATCACTGAGGATATGGGTAAATCATATGGTCACCGACTTCTTTTTTGGTCTAGTCTTTCATTTTTGCTTATGTGCTTTGTCTATACAGTGTCTTTATGCCTTTTAATTGATTTTTCTTTTTTAACATATTTTTTTTGTTTTTATAGGGATTAAGATTATAACACAATGTTGACTGCTGTACCCTTATGTTTGACATGTTTACGTATTATGTCTGTTTTTGCTCCCACACACTTTGGTCAATATAATGCAATTCTATGCGACTGTTATACAAGTGATAGGTTTAGCTAGCTATAAAACCAGGTTTAATCCACCATTTTCCTACATAAGGAAATGCCTATACCAAGTCAAGAATATGACAGTTGTTTTCCGTACGTTTAATGTGTTTGATTTTGATTTTGCAATTTGAAAGGGACTTTCCATTTCGAATTTTCCTTGGTATTTTTGTTATTTTATTTTAACCAATTTGTTACCTATTTTGTAGTGAAAAACGTAAATATTCGGCGTTTTATGGCCTAAAACGCGATCACGTTACGATTATTTCGACGTTTTGTGGTTTGTTTTTTCACCTTTAACACCACTTTGAATGATGTATACCATTAGAACGAAGTCGGTGACCCTACTTTTTGTTTTACTTCATTACAACGGAAATTTCTGTATCAACAACATAGTTTTTAAAGAAAAATCTAGGGATTTGAAATTAGAGATTTGATGATTTAAAGACAAATTTAAGAAGTTTTTCGCCTGTTTTATGTGCTTTCTATACAAAAGTTCACCTATTTTGAAAGAAATCAACCAGTAATCTGTCAGATAATAAAAGAGATAAATGCTTATTTTTTTTCGATTGATACATGTAGTTATAGTTCATCGAGCCAAAACGGTATGCAAAATTTAACCAAAATCTGCAACAAAGCCCATTTACTGTAACTCGACCTTAATTGCAGTATTGATAAACCTCACCTCTTTCAATGACTGACCCTCAGCATTCTTTACTGCTATAAAAGCAAATACGAATATCGGTAATATTGGTATCACAGATATAATGGTTCCGAATGCTACAGCAAATTCTGGGTAAGTATAGGATCCGTATGTTGGAGGTCTATAAGCTATGAAACTAGATACAATTAATCCCTGTAAAGATAGCATTTGGTATCAGTAGAAAGTGTATTAACACAGTACAATTAGTAATAATAACGTTCTAACATGTACCTTTATAATTGGCAATTTGTGATTCTTCCTGTATGAAATATTCCACACAGAATGTATACGGAATAAAGTAGGAATATTGCATTGAATTCCTACCAGAAAAGAGTGATATTCTAGTCAGACAGTAGTAGGAATCCACACGGAAAATAGCCGAAAAATTTAAATTAGCAGGAATTTCTTAGTAGGAATATTGTATATTCCTACCAGGAATATTTAAATTAGCAGGAATAATTTGGCGGGAAAATAAAATTCCTACTAGAAAACCTGGTAGGAATTTTTCAAAATTCCACATAGAAAAAAATATTTTCTAGTAGGAATCTAAAAATATACAAAATGTAAGTGTATATTCACAAATACACAACTGGGTCAATCATTTAAGTTTGAATCTAAACAACAAAGAACAAAGGAAATGCATGGAATATATTCATTTAAAAAAAGTTGACTTTTGAAATTTATGAGGAAGCTGTGATAAATAAATGTATCCCAGCTAGAAATTGTGTTATATAAGTAGATAGGCAAAAATGTTGATTAGATGAATTTTAAAAGAGTAAAGAACAAATAATGAGTAAAATTATGCACTATTGTTGAATTAACTGATTACTAAATATATTGGCAAACAGATAAAAAATTTCATCTAAAAGTATAAAAATTACCTTCAATCTACATGAGCCATATTTTCTTATATTTCAATAATGTAGTTGTTTGACCCTTGCAGCATTGTGTTCCAACACAACTTTTCATTCTTTTATCCTCAAACTTTTGAATTTGTGAACTGGAACTTGGTTGCATTAATAACACAGCAAAATGTGTGCCATCAGCAAACAGGAATCCAGTTTAAGAAACTAAAAAGATTCCATGTAGAAAGATTTTCTAGCAGGAATAAATTAATTCTGGTAGGAATCTAGTAGTAGGAAAATGAATAAGATTTTCTATCCAAATTTCCACTTCATATTTTCAAAACAGAATAAAATCCATACAGACTTTTAAAATTCCAGCTAGATGGTAGGATTTTGCCAGTGAGAGAATAAAAAATCCAGTCAGAATTTTTTTCATTTTCCCTGTCCGCCTACTTTCTATATAGAATCTTTGATTCTAGGTAGATTCCTACTACATTCCTACAAGTGTCTAGGTGGAATCCTACTACCTATTTCGTACGGGTTACAGAAAATAGGGAGTTCAAACAATACCAAAAGGATATTTCGGAACTGAAAATTCGATATTCAAAAAGTTCAGATGGATCATTAGAATTTCGAAACTCGGAATTCTATATTTAAGTTTGAAATTAGACACGAGATTAAAAGCAATATCAAAGTATATATTCAATATTTAATATTCGAAACTAAATATCCTGCTTACTTATGAAAGCGCGATAGCCAATGAAATGTCTTTTTAACAAATAACTCCACAAAGTGCTTTCGGTTGCCATACTGAATTTTGAATGCATTTCGTAAATGATATCTTTAATGATTCTATTTGACTATCGGTTAGCCGCCTTTCAGTTCGATATATTAAACAACCAATATACGCTGTCGTTGAAATAGAAAATGTGTTACATTTTTTCACAGTAAAAGGGAATGATGTTTTAAGTCCAACGGTCGTAAAAAATGTATCCATGATCTAATTAATAAAAATCAAGAATAAATTTTGAACTTACAAGGAGTATTATCGGTGTAATAAATCCGATGCATATTCGAAAAAAAGCGGGAACTTTTCTACCAATCATTAGATAGACATCGTGTGAAAATCTTTCTGCACCTAGGGAAGAGTAAAGTTCAATAAATAAAGACACACATAATCTTACAAACCTATATATTCACAAAGTAATGAAAAATCTATACATCTAGGCGTAATTGACATAATCAAGGAGTCCAATGAAGGGATTTCAACGTGTACTTGAGTGCGAATTTCATGCTCGTATACTCAAATAAATCATAATTTTACCCAATGTGATGATGAATTAACATGTATTTGTGGCACTATAACACCAACAACCATGTATGTAAAAGAGAAAAATCCTGATCAGTGCCCGTCGTAATCATCTGCAAAACGGCCATCAATCACACGTGTCTTTTAATGATTATATCGTAATAGATTGATCTAATGTTATCGACAAAATTAACGTCTTCAAATAATCAGTATTAAATTTCTTTTGATGAGCCACATGCGACATCAAATTAGACTTATTCTCGGGCTCCGACGATGTCAATAAAGTGATTGACAGTTTACGGATCGTTAACTTGTGTAATAGATTGGATTGTACATGTATCGATTATTTTTTGTATTGCTCACGGTAATTTCTTAAAGAAAATAAACGAGACAATACAATAACACCAATTTTACAATTAAACTACAAATAGGATCCGCGTATGCGAGAACTTGCGAGTATTTGAACCGAGAACCGAGAACCGAAAACCCAAGTAATGATTCCACAAAGAAATTGCAATTCCGAGTCCAATGACATTACAAAAAAGGAATTGAACAATCCGGATTATATATACTATACATGTTATTTATTAACTTTACAATGCGCAGAAAGTACACCGATATGAATATCAACACGGTGAACTGTATGACACCAAACACGCATTAGTATAACATAAATAATCGATATATAGCAAGGCAGCTGGAAAACAGGATAAAAAACCTATTCTTTTAAATTTCATTTTACCGTAAATCCATCCGAAAATAATACACTCTATGAATCCAAATATTGGTAATGAAAATGCTGCAACATACCAGTCAACAAGTTGAAATATGTATATACCTCCCTAAAATAAATTACGTAAGTAAATATATTTTTGTATGATGAACCATAGGAGTGCGATGAAAGCGCTAACAGTAACAATATTCGATTAACAATGTGATGTTTTGTGTTTCTTATTCTTAAATTATATTTTCTGTACCAAGGACTTTTTATTTTATCAAAATATATATTTACTTATAATACACAATGTAAATATTTTGTAATTGCGTGAGAGTTTGTTGAATTATATATCTTTTGGAAATTTATGACAGTATTTGTAAGATTTTTTGCTAGATGTAATTTATAAATTAGTAGATATTACCTCCCAGCTGTGTCCTACAATGTACTTATCTAGCGTGATCAACATCTAGCTTTATCGGCAACAGTAGTTAACCAATGTTAAAATCTCATAAATCGATAAAGAAGAAATATCGACATGACCCAAGTTAAAAACACAAAAACGAGGAATCGCATGAACTCCAAAGAGTGCGATACCAGGTGCGTCGACAGGATAAGCGTTTGCTGCTATTCATGCATCACCCTCCATCACACTCAATCAAAATATCACAATCGGGAAGAGAACACAATTGGTAAAATTAAAGTTTGGAGATTATTCGGGTATCTAAAGAACTTAGACTGCACAGTTTATCGCTAGTTAGTTCAACATGTATATATTGTTTCGGTCAACCAATTCGTGGTGACCGTACAAATCATTTAGTGACGATTTCAACCTTTCTTCCTTAGAACTCTGTTGGAGCAGTTTTTGTGCAAGGAGTATGCATCTGCTAACGAAGTCCGTGTAGTAACTACATGCACGAGTGTTATGCATAAATGAGATAGGCATACGGCATACAATGGATCAGGGGCCTCGGTGGCCGAGTGGTCTAAGTAGTCGAACTACTGTATCACTAGCCAGTCAACACTAAGTTTGTGAGTTCGAATCCCGCACGGGGCAGGTGCACTGGACTCCAATCTTAATTGACTAGGATTGTCAGTTTTCCTACCGAAGGTCGGTAGTTCTCTCCGGGCACTCCGGCTTACTCCACCAATAAAAACTGACCGCCACGAAATAGCACAATAGTGTTGAAAGTGGCGTTAAACACCAATCAATCAATCAATCAATCAATACAATGGAGCAGATGGCATGTAACTGCTGAGAAATAGGAAGTTGACTATTGAAAAGTTGAAATCATCATGTTTGTCATAGATTCCAGTTTAAAGTCATCTCTCTGTATCTATATTGAGAAAAAGATCAAGATAAGAAGCATACCTTTACGCCTAATTAAAAGACAACTGAAATATTTTGAAATGTTGGTTATTGAGTGACAGGAGATCAGCAATGTAGCGGAAAATGGAAAAATAGAATTTTGCAATGTGCTTGCAGTGAGGTGATAGTTTTTGCACCAAGTTGACGGCATCTGTGACTATAGATGCAAAACAGAAATTAAATCGCTGTCCCTTTCCTCCTCATCAAATGATACACCATGTCCTTTCATTTCATTTGGTTACGATAAGTCAGAGTTAAGAACTATTTGTTATATATTTTGAATCTATTGTCTATTTGATAGAAATGTTTTGATCGAACAATTTAAAACAAAATCAACAACATAATCTACTCGTTCTTGTTTCGCTATTTTAAAATAAAATAAAACATTGTTTAGTCTTTATTGCGTCTGTTGTACTTTGTCCTTTTGAAAACAACCACTTTGCATATTATGAGTATGTTAACACAAAACATTAATTAGATAAATATGCCATTGTTTTTACATAATAGTTTGTGTGATGTATAAAATGAGTCAGAGCGTCAAGACACACACCACCTCGTTTTAGATACAACCTGGTTACGGGCCTGATTCATCCATCTTTAATCAAAATAATTCAATCTCTTGTATAAATCTATTTAGTGTCACACAACCCTTTAATCTGCTTAAATGAATTATGAACGCATGAGTGAAAAAGAGGCAAAAGATACCAGGGACATTCAAAATTCATTGTAGAAGAAGAACGAAAAGGCCATTACATAACACAAGGGACGACGAAAAGACAAGAAATGTCCACAAAAAAATAAATAGAAAACTAAAGAAAGATACATGAACCCCTACAAAAAAGGGATGATCTCATGTTCTCCCGTTATGTAGATCACGATAAATACAAATTTGATGATAAGTATCATTCGATGATATCACAAACAAGGAAAAGAAGATGGGATTACGGTTACGAAAATCGGAACTTATCCGGTGTTATATGTAACTCCGATATTTTATAACGATAAAAAAAACTTGTGATGGTGTCTGTAAAACGTTCAAATGGATGAATTCGACTTAACCACTTATAATCATTGGTTCAATAACTTTCTTAAGCTAGTAAACAGCAACCCTGTATCAAAAAAGCTAGAAACGCCAGCCATTCAATATAGTATCAACTCGGAATTGTATACTACATACGCGGGAGCTACTGGAATGTTTCTACATAAAAATGAAAAGTTCACAATTTGGAAAATAAAATCATCCATTTCGTAGTAAAGTTTTGTTCTCAACCTACCCTCAGTCAAGATATGAGGCAGAGTAACCTGTATCTGTATCCATATTGAAGTTCTATGGGAAAGATTCTTTCAGCATACTCACCACACTTTGAACTATTTATTGAGAGGACATTACCTATATAGCAGAAAAGGAAACAGTAGTATACCGCTGTTCAATAGTCATAAATCGATTTAACTGAAACAAATCCCAGTCACAAACCAAAACCGAGGGAAACACATCAACTACAAGAGGAAAACAACGGAACAACATAAACACTGAACTGCTACAAAAACAAACGCCAACATACATAGAAACGGACTATTTGATAAAATCTGCCATATTCCTGACTTGGTACAGGACATTTTAAGATAAAATGGTGGGTTGAACCTGGTTTTATGGCTAGCCAAACGTGAAGTTAAAGGATAATGATAGCTTACAAATATGTCAATACAAAATAAACCAATTCGATGATGTCAGTTTTAGAAAATATTTTGTTTGAAATCTTTCCATGTATTCAAATAAATACATACAGATACAATTACATTACAGGTTAAACATCTGACATATTTACAAGGTAACATTACAGGTAAAACATCTGACATATTTACAAGGTAACATTACAGGTTAAACATCTGACATATTTACAAGGTAACATTACAGGTTAAACATCTGACATATTTACAAGGTAATATTACAGGTTAAACATCTGACATATTTACAAGGTAACATTACAGGTTAAACATCTAACATATTTACAAGGTAAAGAACATGTTTAAGGTCAACCTAGAAACTTTCATATGAATTCAATAAACACATAACTAAATAATTGGAATAGGATGTCAAAATTAAGATGGTGATCGACAATAAATGGGAAACAGATGCACAGTCTTATTTTCCTTGTTTTTTTTTTATAAAGTGTCAAAATGAAAATTAAAAAGATATCCTAGAAAAGGTTTCCAGAAACCAAATTAAAAAGTCCAAAAACCAGATACCTTGAATCCTATTGATATGAAAGCTCATTCGACGGTTTTACTTGGATTCGTAAGCTTTCAATGTTATCAAACATTTTATTAGTGGTTTTATTTCACGAGATTACACGAGGGTAGTGCTTCCTGAAATACGGAAATTCTAATGAGTAATTTTGAGATTTAAACAACAGGAATTTAACGTTATATTCTTGTCTCTAATTATAAATAAGAAGATGTGGTATGAGTGCCAATGAGACAACTATCCATCCAAGTCACTATGGGTAAAAAGTAAACAATTATAGGTCAAAGTACGGCCTTCAACACGGAGCCTTGGCACCGAAAATGCAGCGGATTTGAACGTTTTAACAGGCGCCAACCTTCACCCTAACCTGAAATAGTGGTATAACATTACAACATAAAAAGACACACAATAAAATATCAATTGAAATGGCTTAACTCGATCAAAAAGACAATATAAAAAACAAGTAAATATACACTGAACGAATAAGTTTGATCTATGACACAATATAAATTTATACGATGCCAAATATTTTTTAAATTTTAGAACATGTTAAAACATAAATGAGATAACTTACGGGGTCACATCCAATTTTATATATTATACTTTTTATATTAGTACTATATGTTCACACTTACTTGCGTACAGAAAATAATTCCAAGAAGAAAACTAAATACACAAAAGGCTATTGTAAATAAGACTCGGCGTCGTCGTAACGATTTGAAGCTGTCGGTAAATACAACCACAATAGATTCACACACAGCAAACTATAAAATAGTACAATTTTGTTTGAAATATTTGCATCTTAGTCTTGATGCATAGTATTTTTAAGGTGAATAACCTATAGACATTTACTTAAATGCAATAAGCAAAGAAATGATACACTGGGAAAAAAAGATGCACGGACTGTTTCTTGTGACAGGAATTGCTAACATGGCATTACTGGTATTTTTTATTTAATTATGCAGTCTATGTAATAAACATGAAGTGTCTTCACTGAATGACTCAAGGATATATGCTATTATGATTTATAGAAAGGACAATTGTGTTCAGATCGTATATCACCAAGTGTGGCAAAAGTGTTTGTAAGAGCATTTTTTTAAATCTTGTTGTTAACGATTTGAGAACGTCAAAAATCTAGTGTAATGTTGGTTATACTCCCATACTTTCTACTATTCTTAAACACATTTTCCTCGAACAACTGTGCTTCCATTTCCTCGTTTTCTTTAGCTATAAGCTATTTCAAGCATGAATGAACAGTAATGTGGGAGTTAGATGTATGTTAACTGCTGGTTGAATTGTTATCCTCACTATGATTTTATATTATGAAAAAAAGAGAAATTCCGCCGTGTATTTTGTATGTTTTCCTTTAAAGGAAACTATGACTACCAAAACGATTTACTGCAAGTAATTACACTGAAAAAAAGGTCAATGGCGTTTGCTTTCCCCATTTATATTTACGCTAATCATTGCAAGAAAAATGAATCTTTTACATACGAATCGATTATTTTAAACATCTTTAGTTATACATATTTTATACACACACATATAAATGCAAATAGCAATCTCAAAAAATTAATATGAATAAATATTTTAATTCGAATAGTTTTAATTTTATAATTATTAATCGATTTAAACTGTCTTTTTCATCAATATTTTTTGTACACTGCGTATTATGAATGAATCACAAGCAAACACTACAATTGCAACGTGTTATATTCCGTTCCAGCACGGTGTATTAGTAACATTATTTAAAAAAAAAATCTCTCTTTAAAACGACATGTGTAGGATTATTATTAACTGTTTTAGAATTTTGAACAAAATTAGCAGTTTGAAAACAAATATAAAGAGACGTTAACTTATAAATTAACTCACTTGACTATCAAGACCTACAGTTAACAACATCACAAAAAATAAACACGACCACACATTCTTTCCTGGTAGATTAGCAAGGGCTTCTGGGTAAGCAATAAAACCTAAACCCGGACCTGTAATGCAGAACAAATATAAATATTTATAATATGGGATAATTATAATTGAAGGGTACTTTCTGCTATTATTTCTACTCTAAGATTGATAACGAGGACTCTCTGTTTTCAGTTAAAGTTTGCTGTGTACGTGTAGGAAGTTTTATTTCATTTTCCTTGGTCAAACGTCTATTTTGCTTTTCAAAGGCTATTTTGCCTTTTTCTCCTTGTTGATGTCGGGTGTGTGGATATTGAACACGTCCATTATTACATTTACATAATGCTTCTATAAAGTATTAAAAATTATTGTATAACACAATTCTCTCTCTTTCAATCATATCATGTACAAGACATGAAAAAGGTATTTTCTTTTTTTTTTTAAATACTTCTCAATTCGCCTCTTTTTCAAGCTGCTAATTTCCAAACATAATTTGAAATGAAAAGTACAATCTTAATACATGCATTACATAGTTATTACCAGATTTTACTATTTGACCTATGGGTAAGGACAACTTTGCTGCCATAAATCCAAGAACTGTGAAAATAACCAGCCCAGAATAAATACTTGTGCCCTCGCCTATAAATGTTAACATGATTGAATCTCTGAAAATAAAAAAAAATATGAAAATGAATACTTCAGATACTGTTTTTATGAAATTTTCAGTGATAAACTTAGGAAATATTTTGAAATTAGAGAACTATCTCGATAGTCCACAGCTCTAATTCTTTGTTGACTTGGCGATCCTTTTTGGTCAAAGATTGCATCAAGCTGAAGAGTTACAAACATTATGGCATCGACGATCACTTTTGAAAAGTAACATAAAGCTAATATGATTAGGAATATTGTCATTCAAATCTTCCTCGTGGGGCTGAATTGACTCAACGGTAAAAGTGATTACAGAAAGGTTGATTGTGATTCACGTTGTTTGGTAATTTATGGGGTAAACATAAAAGCGCCAAGTAAGAGTTTGAAGCTATGCTCACTTGTTTCTATTGTTTCTCTCTTCATGAATTAGTTCTAACATACAAAAACAAATACCATAAAACCAAACAAAAGAAAACAACACGCGACACTCAGAATAAACTGAATTTCTAAGAATTTTCTAAATATACTGCCGAAATTTAACCAAATGAACTTACTTTAAATAAATCAAATATAAACGGTTATAACTGTCCTTTCCTAGATTTAGATATTTCAGTTTTACACGGGAAACTCTACACTGATATTTACGACAAAAAGGACGATTTTTCGTTCCCTATTGTTAATTTTCCTTTTTTGGACGGTGATGTCCCTTTGGCACCATCTTACGGTGTCTATATTTCACAACTCGTTCTCTATGCCCGTGTCTGTTGTGACGTTTTGGATTTCAATGAACGTAATCTATGTATTACTGATAAATTATTTTGTATTAGGGAATTTGTTACTACAAATTACTTAAAACCTTTACTAATTTCTCCATAGATATAAAGATTTGGTTTTGAAGTTTGGTTGTATCTGTAGAAAACTTATTTCAAACGGGATAGCACATCCTAACTTTTATGGTGATGTTGTTTACCGAGCCCGGACATTTAGAAACGATCCGGGTAAACTTATCGATCCTTTAAATAAACTTATTCTAAGGTGTTACCAATTCAACACTGTAATTAGGTCTTTGAATATTGTTTTTATTGGTATAAATACTGATTTTGTTATCAGTAAATTAAAATCAAACTGAATATTATTTTTATATACATATGCACATTCATTGATCTACAATCTGTCGATACCTGTATCTTGGCATTACACAAGGTCATGTATTTTCTCTGACTTTTAATGACGTCTTCACGCTAAATCCATTGGCTGTTGGATGTGTACTGATTGATATATAAGTCTTAGATGCATGAATTTTTTATTAGTTTTTATTGGCTTTGAACTAGCTGCCAGTAACTGCGAGTACTCTCTGATCTTCACTTAGTGTCTTTTTGTTGTGGGGATGTATAAGTACCCTGCCACGTCCACTTTGTGTTTTTGTTACTTGTTTTTTTGTTGTTGCTTTGTATCGATCTGATGAGTTAAGCTCTTTTTAACTGATTAGTATAGTTTCTTTATATGTTGTACTGTTACACCACTCTCCCAGGTTAGGGGGAGGGTTTGGTGCCCGCTAACATGTTTAACCCCGCAACATTCAGTATGTGCCCGTCCCAAGTCAGGAGCCTGTAATTCAGTGGCTGTCGTTTTTTGCTGTATATCATATTTGTTGTTCAATCATAATTTTGTACATAAATCAGGCCGTTATTTTTCTCGTTTGAATTGTTTTACATTTGTCATTTCGGGGCCATTTATAGCTGACTATGCGGTATAGGTTTGTTGAATTGTTGAAGGCCGTACGGTGACCTATAGTTGTTAATTTCTGTGTCATTTAGTCTCTTGTGGAGAATTGTCTCATTGACAATTATACCACCTCTTCTTATTTTTATGCCCCACCTAGGGGCATTATGTTTTTCGGTCTGTGCGTCCGTTCGTTCGTCCGTCCGTCCGTTTGTCCGTTCTTTCGTCCGTCTGTCCTGCTTCAGGTTAAAGTTTTTGGTTAAAGTTTTTGGTCAAGGTAGTTTTTGATGAAGTTGAACTCCAATCAACTTGAAACTTAGTACACATGTTCCCTATGATATGATCTTTCTAATTTTAATGCCAAATTAGAGTTTTGAACCCAATTTCACGGTCCACTGAACAAAGAATATGATAGTGCCCGCTTCAGGTTAAAGTTTTTGGTCAAGGTAGTTTTTGATGAAGTTGAAGTTCTATTAACTTGAAACTTAGTATACATGTTCCCTATGATATGACCTTTCTAATTATAATGCAAAATTAGAGTTTGGACCCCAATTTCACGGTCCACTGAACATAGAAAATTATAGTGCGAGTGGGGCATCCTTGTACTATGGACACATTCTTGTTATATTATGTTTCTTCTTTAACTTTAGCATGATTGGAAGGGGTTGGGTTAAGATTATAAACACTAGTTTAATATGAATAAAAGTAAATGTGGGGTATAAATCCTTAAGGCAGCAAACACTCGACGAAAATTACAAAGCGACATCTAGGGGGCAACATACAGTCTTCCGCAATAAGTTTATGTTGATACAATAAATCCAGCTCTAAATCGTCCCGAGTCTTATAAAGATAGAGTTAAACAAAAACGGTCAAAGATCTACCATCAACTACAAATTCTATAGATAACAAAATGCAAAAAATAAGACATGATACAACCAATGACGACGAACTTTAGGTGGGACAGGCAAAATTATCTATCGCTGGATTAAATTAACCCGTCACATATACCTGTGCCTTTCAGGGAATATTCGAAAATACACAAAGAAAACTTAAAACATGAAACGCAAATCCCACTTAAGAATAGGGAGTGAGCTCAGTATCTGCGAAAAGGTAAGCAGTCTGTCACTCACGAAACATAAAGATTGAAAAGTTAGATTTCGATAATACATCATAAACGAAGAAAGGAGTGCTGGGAAATGTACTAAGTCAAATGTACAGTGTCTGTCTTCGTTCCTGATACATATATTCCAAAACGACCAACACGTGATATTGATGTCTGGCAAAACATTCCAAAATATTACTTCAATTTAGTCGAGAAAACTCATGGGTTCAGCAGTTCCCTAGTAAACAGCAATCCTCTATAAAAAGCCAAGATATCAAATATCGTACGAAGCAGGAAATATATACTCAATATAAAGATACTGTTGAAATTTAACTTCATAAAATGCAAAAAAAAAGAAGATCTCAAGAGGCAATCATAAACAAACCGGAAGGTCGAAGAAAAACTATACCATAACCAACAATTAAGACAAACAAGAGTAAACAAACATTAAAATGTCAATAATCTTGATGATGTCTGTTTCATACAACTATATGCTATTGTCTTCCTGAAACACATTTGATATATTGAATCGAGTTGTGTTTTTTTTCTGCATACAAATTGATGATAATGACGAACCTTTAGTAGTCTTTGTTAATTTAACGTCTAGACTCGGGGTGAATAAGATATGAATGCAATGTATACCTGTCTAGTTTGAAATCAGTATGATATTTTGTTGTTGGGGTGCTGTCTCAATACGTATGCTCTCCAACTGTATGATGCTTTATATTTAAATGTGCCTCATCATTTAATGACATGTTATTTGATTGCAGTCACCAGCGGACCTTATAGAGATTTACGGCTTCTCGGTACCGACTGTTTACACCAACGTTTACAGGTAAAATGAAGGGGATCGTCTCAAAATAAAAAAAGTTCGAAGCAATTAGCATTTCAAGGTATAAGTTGCAAATAACTGTTAAGCAAGATTTTACACAATGATTTATTTAATTCAATAAAGATTGTTGTCTGTTCACAAGTCCTGCACAAGCCTCCACAATATATCTGAGCTTTTGTCTTGTGTGCCTCCATAAAGGTTTTCTATTGATATAAAAGTAAAGAGATGAGGTATGATTGCCAATGAGACAACTATCCATCAGAGTTAAAATGAAATGGTAGTAAGCAATTATAGGCTACCGTACGGCCTTCAATAATGTGAAACCCCATACTGTATAGTCTGATATAACAACCCCCGATAGGAAAAATGTGAAACAGTTCAAACGAGAAAACTAACGGCCTAAGTTATAACAAGACAATTTACGAAAAATAGATATGACAGACATGAATCAACGACAACCACTGTACTGCAAGCTCTTGACTTTGGACAGGCATATACAGAATGTGGCGGAGTTGAACATGTTTGTAAACGCCCAACCCTTACCTAACCTGGGACTGTGGTGTAACAGCACAACATAAGAATAAACTGTAAAAAAACAGTTGCGCTTGGATTAACTCAAAAGACGTATGCATGGCATGGTAGTGACGATGACTGGGAAAATACAGTTCTCGCGGCTCACCTTGTGGCCTATGATATTCTATTCCACCGACGGAAGCAGGGTTATAAGTCTAAATATCGCGTTTTCCACTCCGTTCGTTCCAAGCAGGTCACTGCAAAAACGACTCCAAAGCTCTTTGCGATATTGGTGTACATGTTTTAATTTCTGCTTGAATTGTGGAAACGCTAACGTTGAAAATCAACGAGAGAACATGATATGATGGATACGAATGAAACTATATTATATACAAAATAACCTGATTTTTCTGAATTAATTTGTAGGGTCTCCTAGTATCTTGTGAAAATGAGTCCTTGACAATCTGCAGATTATCTAGCATGTTTCAGGGGTTTCGCCGGTTGCAACATATGTGTCTGTTAGATATATTTTGCTACCGTCATTTACTCAATATATATAAGAAAATAGTGGAATTTGTAAAGCTTTATGATGGACAGATTGAGATTAAAGAATGCATTTAATATAAAAAATAATATATAACGTAAAATGTCTGATCTTACAAAGTATTTGAACCCAAAATGGTATATAGAAATGCTCTTTGTCCACTATAAAAACTATTTCTGACAGCCCTATCCAATTTTAGAAATGGCAATCGCAGCCTTTGAGCGGTCGACTTCGCGTCAAAAACTACTAAATGTAGGTTCGAAATTAGATAGTAGAAATGATCCTGGGATTATCATCTACCAAAACTGCGACTGATTATTCCGACAAATTTTGAAATATATCCACCATGGCCTGTGATTGGTTGACAGATTTTTGTTAAACACTAGATTACTTGATAGATATTTCCCTGGGTTGCCGTATTTCCAAATTGTGTTCGATGGCCCATGAAGGTTGTCTGAATGGCCCCCTCATACTCTAATTGGTGTGCTCAGATTTTTAGGTAATTTTTGTCAGCACGGATTATCTGTTCCCGCTTAATATCACTTAAACACTCTCTAGATTTTCAGATTACACCCTGAATTATTTTCGCTTGAAAAAATAAGTTTAGAAATTTCAGATGGAAGAGTTTCCCCTAAAACTGAAAAATATGGAAACTTCCCGTAACAATGACGAAATGTATACTTGTATTTAAAACTAGAACATCGTGTTTCTTATACATTAAGTATTACTTTTTTTTGCCTTATTGTGATAAAATATCCACCCTTTAAATACCTGTGTTGAATGCAAACGAGTTGGAAATATTGATATAGCATATATGTATAGGATGTAGTTGAATATGACAAACACAGATGCGTATGACATGCAAAGTACTTGCTTCATGAACTACCATATTGAACCGTATAAATGTCAATGATAAACATATCTTCCATAAATTGCAAACAATTCAATGTTTTGTTTCCTATTCAACGTAAGTGGTACATAAACCCATGCATGTGACACTGATAAATTTTTGTAACATACCGTAAGATATTGTTATCAAATCTGTTAAAACTGGCCATTGAAATGATCGGTCCCCATCCTGGTCCGAGAGAGTAAAATACCTGCAGTGCAGCTTCTATCCACACCTTTAATAATATATGACAATGTGAATAAAAGGAAAGGTGGCTCACATCAATCACACATCAACCTAAAATGAAGGGCAATAAAGTAAACTACCGTTGACCGACTCGTATTTAAAAATGTTTCTCAAATCGTTTTAGCGGACATCAGTTTGATTGTTGAAGGCAAATGACACAATAATAAGCTAGTTTATAACATGAAATTCTTGTAATTGCTTTTACATCAAATAGTATTATAGTACTTTACTCAGGATTTTTTTTTGTCGTAGAGTATTATTCTTATTACTCTTAAACTATAAAATAATGAAACTTGCTTGTAACTTCAGCAGGTGCGAAAAATCTGGTCGTAGATACATTATTACTCCGTCAACAGATCCGTCCAGGGTGAGTCCTCTTATCAGAATGATCGTCAAAATAACATATGGTAGAAGAGCTGTCACATACACCACCTGTTAAGTAAAGTAAACTATAAACACCGTTCTCTTTCTTGAAACAGAATTTCTCTAAGGGGCTTGGTGGAGTAAAAACAATTAACTCATTAAATGTTTATTTTGTTTAAACAAATTGTATTCTTATGTTTCACATTGAATATTGCATATCAAAATATAATAAGAATAAGAATAAGAAGCCACACAGAAAATTGCTTCAGTATCAATAACACTTTGAATCAAAAATCACATAGAAGCAAAATCACTTTATGTCAATACGTACATGCATACACAACAAATTTCCTGTTTTTTTGTTGATAAAAAAATATTGAATATATTGGATACCTAAATTACATAAGCGTCCTTACAAACAACGTTATATTACAGGGTCTTCCAAGTGATCCACAAAAAAACTTCTTTCTAAATTATTAACATCATTTTTATCAGCAATCAAAGCTTGGCATTAAAATTTTGTGAAACTACCTATTCTAAGAATGGCGTGAATTAGATGTAGATACTCAAAAATTCCAAAAACCTGTTAGAGTATATACAATCTAAGTCTCTTTCATCTTTCAATAGTATAAAAACATTTGATTTTTCTACCCTTTATGCAATCATTCCCCATTCCAAGCTTAAAGACAAATTGAATGGAATGGTCCTGCTTTGTTTCATAAGAACAATGCCCAACGAATATACAAGTATCTTGTCTTAGGGAGGGATACGTCGTACTTCGTAAAACATCACTCCGATTCAAACAAAATTCTCTAGATAAAGGCAACTGTAGTATACCGGTGTTCAAAAGTCATAAATCGATTGAGAGAAAACAAATCCGGGTTACAAACTAAAACGGAGGGAAACACATCAACTATAAGAGGAAAACAAAGGAACAACAGGAACACTGAAGTGCAACAAAAACAAACGCCAACATACATCGAAACGAACTATTTGATAACAACTGCCATATTCCTGACTTGGTACAGGACATTTTAAGAAAACATGGTGGGGTGAACCTGGTTTTATGGCTAGCCAAACCTCCCGCTTATATGACAATGTTAAAAAAATATCGCTAAAATGACAACACTACGTGACAGAAATACAGCACAAACATGCGCAAGAACACTTATCACAGAGAAACGCACAAACAAATAATATAATAGTCGACACAACATGCAAACCGCAGAACAACAACGAACATCTTCCATCAACGACAGACACCACAGGACATCACAAACAGTGACGCACTTACGTAACGAACATGCAATCTCGAACTTTATACAATTATTTTCACAATACCAGTCCAAACAATTTGCATGACAATGATGATATTGAAAGGCTATTTTATAATTATTTGGACTACAAACGATAAGATAAAATACCATATCCAACCGAAACAATAACAGAAACAATAAAAAATAAATACATGAATGTTGGATGTACAAAATACCGAGACACGTCGTATAGCAATGCAAATTCACACTCGGTATAACAGTCATATTCGGGAATATGTCACGTTCGGTACTTAGCTGACAGACGACATAGATGTTAAACCACAATCTAAGACGTGGTAAAAATGTCAGTAGTTAGTTTAAACACAGACACATCGTATAGATCAACCAATTCGTGATGGTGTCCATAAAATTTACGGAGTGTCATTTTTAATCTTTCCTCCTCATAACTCTGTTGGAGCAGTTTCTGCGTAAGGAGCACACTCCTGTATATGAAGTCAGTACAGTGTGAACATGCACGAGCATAACGTATCAATTGAGATATGTAAACACCATACGACGGAGCAGAGGGTATGTTACTGCTGAGAAATGGGAAATTGATAATTGGGAAGTTGAAATAATCCCGTTTGTCATAGATTTTAGTGTGAAGTCGTCCATCTGTGTCAATATTGAGGAAAAGATCAAGGTATGAAGCAGTCCTTCTTGTATCAGTAGTATCCTTAATTTCAAGTTCACTGGGATATATGAGATGCAAGTACTGACTGCAATATGGGTTTTTAGTGATAGGACATCATCAATATATCTGAAAGTAAAATTAAAGAATTTTGCAAGGTGCTTTTTCTTTTTGTCTTTTAGAAGGTTCTGAATGAATTCTGCTTCATACGAGTACAAAAACAAGTCTAAAACTGACATTATCAAGATGCCTGATTTCTTGATTGGCAATACTTTGTATATTTGTAACGTTTGGAGGATGTGTTTTTCAACAAACAATCGACATTCTCACTGGATCCAACTGTGCTCCTCTTCTTGCCGACTTGTTCATTTATTCACATGAGGCTGACTCCATACATGAGCTTCTTAGAAAGAATGAAAAGAAGCTAGCATTATCTTTTAACTTCACTTTCCGCTATATAGATGATGTCCTCTCACTAGATAATTCAAGGTTTGGTGACTATCCTAACGAACTTGCTATAAAGGATGCAACAGATACAGTTAAGTTTGCCTCATATCTTGACCTACATCTAGAAATTGACAATGAGGGTCGGTTGAGAACAAAACTTGACGATAAAAAGATATGATTTCAGCTTCCAAATTGTGAACTTTACATGTCTATGTATCAACATTCCAACATCACCTGCATATGGAGTCTATATCTCTGGATTTGGTGTTTCGAGCACAAATGTTGTACTCCGAATACTAAGTAAAGTTATTTGACAGAAAGCCCCGGTTTTTGGTGGTGTTTGTGTTGCCTAATTTTATAGTTTTCCATGTTGTGTTTTGTGTACTTGTCTTTTGGTGTTTTTTATGGTTTTTTTTTGCCATGGAGTTGTCAGTTTATTTTCGACTTATGACTTTCAATGTCCATTTGGTATCTTTCGCCTCTCTTTTGTAGTAATTAATGGAACGTTTCGTTTTACAAAATTCAAAATCTATAAAGGAAATGAAAACTGTGTATTACAAAGCGAATTAATGTGAATTTTTTGCAAAGTAGAAGTTTATATTGGTATCCTGTTACCCATTAAAGTGGAAGAAGTATCACACATTCAAACCTTCGTATGTCTAGATGACAAAATTAGATAGACATGCATGTGTAACGTTATTATCAATACTATTGAAAAATAAGGGAATACTAAAAACATAAAAGTACACTAATCATGCAGAAATGCTTGGTGTGAAATGAAGCATATCTTCAAAACTTTTGGTTGCGAGTGTACCATACGAAGGTTATGCAAGAAACAAGCATTGTGCACACTGAAATACTATCAAACATTTTTTATTAACTACCACTGAACTGGTACCTTGCTGGTGGACTTTCAGGCCCCTTGGGGACCATCCGCCCAGTAGTCAGCCAATGCTTCGATACATTTAATATTCAAAAGATACATCATGTGTGTAAATTCAATTTAAAAAAAAAATTATAAAATTTTGCTTAAGCGAAGGATGCAACCCCTTTGTGTATAATTGAATTTTTAGGTTTGAGCTGTCCAACTTAGTATTGGTTTGATTCCGAGCGCTTCTCATGAAATATATCCCACAACACGGGAATCGTGTCATACGTTGTTTTATACATATGTATTGATAGTAGAAATTTGCGGAAACTGTCATACACCTACGATTAGGATTACAATTACACTTACAGGTAGCATTTAAATCTTGGGTCGTTTCAAAGTGTAAATATAAACCCTCGGTTCAAAACAACGACTAACTCCTATGATGTTTTTCTATAGTTGAACAAAGAGATTTCAAAAAAACATGGGTAAAAAATGTCATCTTGGCAGCTTGAGGTTGAATCAGGACCACTCGGACCAAAAGCAAATCGGATTAAGACAACTCGGGCCAATTTAAAGACAACTCGGACCACTTTTAAAGACAGCTCGGACCAGTTTGAAAGACAACTCGGACCAGTTTGAAACACTTGTCAGACCAGTGGCTCTTCGTGATTTTTATGTTTAATATGATTTTTGTTTGCTTTTGTCTAGATTTTTTTCTTTTTAGTTTCCCCTAACTGACCATCTTAGCTTGCTGTGACAACTTGTCAGTTTGATGCATTTCAATAAGTTCTGTTACTATAAATTGTTTTATGACGGCCTAACGAGAACAATAGAACTAGAAAAATAAAACAACAAATATCTTTCAATGCAATGAAAATATAAAGCAGAGATATATTCGTCTTTAAATATACGAGCCCGTGTTGTAATATTATCCTTATTTGTCAGAGGTCTCAATTATTTAGACGTTGCCGTTATAATTGGAAAACATATACCATGATTAGCCAAAATCAGTCAATTTTTTTTTATCGTCATGGAGAAATGAACTCAATGTTTCTTTGTGGAGTTTTTGTGGACTTACGTTTGTAATCTCGTCGTTTTTCTTTTAACCATGGTGGAGACTTTTTTTCTTCGACTTACGGGTTCTAAATGCCCCTTTGCATTGTTTCCTCGTTTAAAAATATATAAGTCACTCAAGTTGCATTAAACATATACATGCATTATATTTTGAATTAAATCAAGCATTTCAAAGTATAGACCCCTAAGAATTTCGTTTATATATTCTTAAAGCACTCAAGTTGTCTTTTAAAGTACTCAGATGTCTGTGAACCTAATTTTAGATTTTATGCAAGTCATACAATTTTTTAAACGATGATTTTTTTTTTATATTTCTTTAGAAATAAAGTAGTTATATGTTATCAAATAAAACTATATTACATCATTCTAGACTTAAATGCTCTTTGCTTGTATAGATATTTGAATACACACGAATATTATTTGGATCCGAATCTTAATCAAACACAAGACACATCCTTCATAACGAAATATTTTTATATTTCATTAGGAATAAATCATAAACTGATATTTAAAAAAACAAGCCAACGCGATATTTACTACATGTAATGTATCTTCAACGTCAAAAATAGTAGAAAATACAGTTGCGGATACAAAAGTGTAATCGTATAAAAGATGTACGACTCCCAATTACTATATACTATATGATTTTGTAAAGCAAGTGGAACTATCAATACCAAAAATGAATAAATGATAAGTGTGTTTCGTGCATTTATTTTATTTCCCCCCGTTTATATGGATAAAGAACACAGATTAACCATGGCAGCATTACCTGTCCTGATGAAGACTCCACCAGATGTTATGGTACACATTTTATTCGTCATCTGATTCTAACTCTGGTAGTCCTAACTTAACCACCGACAAACCAATCTTTTACAATATTAAAGGCAATGATGTACACTTTTGGAATGGTAGAGATGTGTTCACTTGTTTTGCAAGCAAACGGTATTCCTTTTACAAGTGAAACTCCTGAAACGTTACTTCAAATTGTAGCCGATATTAATGATCTCTTTAGAGTGAAAACCGATCGAGGTCATAAGCTTTCACCGGTAAAAAAAATTCTTCGTTTATGTTATGGTTACAATCGTACCCGTCTTATCATATGATTTCTGAAATAGTTGACGTTAGTGCTTCGACTACCAAAGATGAAACATACATGTATACCTATTTCTATGGTGGGTGGCCAAAACTTCATTTTGCAATAGGGCTATCGACGCAAAGTTTGTGGCCGATAACGGAACCACAAAAACAGGACACAGACATTGTCACTGCATTCACACTCAATTTGTAATATTGAACAAAGACAGGATATGTTATATTCAGTGCGGATTTCTTTGGCATCAGCAATATATGTTGATGAGAAGTATAGGACAAGAATTACCTTTCCCGACTGAGCTGTTTTTGCTAGGCGACAAAATATAAACTGATATCTAGTATTGACACCTTACATAAGAAAAACCCCAGAATATGCAGAGGAAATGTAGGAAAATAAATAGACATATTACACACTATAGAGTAGAGGTTGAACACGCCATCGGAGAATTAAAAAAAAAAACACAAAGTTATGGGGACTTTGTGGCGATTCACATCTGTTGTGACCATAAGTTTCTGCATTTGTGTGTCGTCCGAAAAGACTTATTTACATGATAAAAGAATATCTTTCATTTTACTATGTATCTCAATTGGGTTTATTTTTTTTTTATTTTGAGAGGACCCCTTGTTTTTCGTCAACTGTAATCGTAAGTCTAAGTGTAATCCTAGGTATAGACCTAGTTACCGCAAATGTCTAATAAGCTAACATATTGTCATACCGTATTTTTTGTTTAAATCCTTCAATGACATAAACTTACCTTTCCAACAGATTTTACACCCTTTATTATACAAAGTCCAACAATCATCCAGGCACCGAACAATGCAATTAATATACGCCAGTTTATCTGACCGAGCTCACCTACTCCTGAAGACATCTGAAGGACATTTTGCCTTGAATGAGTAAAACATGATTTAGTATTTCATCTTTATATTAATTGCAAAGCAATGCTGGTTTTTGTGTCTACTTGTTATTTTATGAGTACTGATTAGAGATTAGAGCGACAGCAGTTTACCCACGTTCAAATCTCATAAAGCCATATATTACAATTAACAAAGATGGAAACAAACACTTCACCAACTTGTCACATGACTGAGAGGCAGTCCGCATGGGTTGTCCTCTATTTACCAATAATTGTTTTTAAATATTAAAAAAGTTATTTAATTATGTAAACATTATATTGATTTCAGTAGGTACATGTACTACACTACTAATAAACGGAGCCAACATCAACCTTCTGAAAATTCGGGCAATCTCAATTGTCTTTAAAAAAAACAACGGAAAGAATAATTTACTTTGTAAACTACCATTAATTGTATAAAGTTATTTTGTTGTAATGATACATACTTTATCAGTCCACTGAACGAAGGAAATCAAACTATCAGAGCTATGTATAACAATAAACTTTATCCTTATACAGAATGGTCAGAAAACTATATTTATCATTTCTTTAAATATTAATATGTTAATGAGGACTATATGTTATCAATGTAACTATTATATTAACTAATTGCAATTTTTCAAAAATACCTGTGGAGATACTTTGAAAATACTGAATTACCTATTTAATCACGTATCTACAAAAAGCCTAGCAGCAATATTATTTTTTTAAGTTACTTCCAGTTTGCTGACGTCGATATGAAGAAAAAGCAACTCTTCTTATTCCCGAGACCATGATAATTCGAGGCGAAATAATCATTGTGAACATGTTGTAACAGGTTACATTTACATTGTCAAATACTGAGAGGTTATAAATTAATATCGTTCATCTTTCTTGAATTATTTGATAGGAATATTGTAAAGTCATCAGCGACTCTCGATTTTCTTACTGCAAATCTTAATGCAGAAGAGAGAAGACTCGTAAACAAATTTGGATATTATTTCTTTAAAAAATGCATGAATCTTGTTGAGTATCGTTTAAAACATTTCAAAAACTAATTTTATACAAAATTGCTGTATTAAAACCATATCTAGACATACAAACAAATTAAATACTCTTTGGAAGCGTTTTTTGTTTGCACTCGTTGACAAAGCAGCAAATAGTGTTGTTGTTTGACTTAAGTTCTACTAATAGTATATTTAAAAAACTCATAAATGAGATAACAAATTCCAGATATTTCGAACCTACAACCTCCACTTAAGATTAGAAGGCAGATGCTTCGATAACGACTGAATTGAAAGCTGATGATAAACACCACACGATTCTCACTATGTATCGTCTTCCTAAATTATAAGTGAGACTTAAAACCGAATGTGCGCGTATCGTGTGCAACATGACGGGTGTCATATATGGAGCAGAATCTGCTTACCCTTCTGGAGCTCCAACGATCAAATTTTGACTGGGGTCGTGTTGCCGGTTTTTCATTTTTATGTAGTATTTTGACTGTTGTTTGTATTTTCGTCGTTTTTCCTATTTTTGCCCTAATTTTGTCGTTCCCTCTTCGACAAACGATATTGATTCTCCCTGTGATATCCTCCGTCTCTTGTTAACAAACAATAACTTTCGTATGTGTCTGAATCTAGTAAATATTTAACTGTAATTGTTTCAATTCTTTTTCCTTGCGCTCTTAAGGAATAATTTATGAAACGCTGTGACAAAGCTTATGGTATAACTATTTCTTGAGTTTAGACAAATGTTTGGAGGTGTTGGATAAGCTACGAATATTAGTCCCAATAACAGTTAAGATTGCTCTTGTCTTCAAATACACGTCCATAACATGTAAGTTTTCCTAATAAATAAAATGATATTTTGATAAATCTGGGTGCAATTGTATCGATTACGGTCGTTACTATTTCTTTTTCGTTAATGAAACGTACAAAAAATACACAAAAAGGTCATGTAAAGGAAGTCATTAATTTTTTGCTTGAAAATATTTTATGTTAGCTTTGGAAATATAGTATATCGACAAGTGATTTGTATTCCAATTGCAACTAGATGTTCCCCTCCTTTTGCAGATTTTTTTCCTTTGCTGTAATGAATCTAAACTTATAACAAAGCTTCAGAGAGACCCAACAAAACACCACGTGATAGATATTTTTAACAATACTAGCCGATATTTTGATTATTAATTCAATCAGTCCAGACTTTCTAAACAAACATATGGCATTTATTTCATCTGAACTCGTTCTTACTAATCAAAACATTCGAAATGAGCGATCTTTTCTTTTAAACATTGATCTTAGAATTTCACATGTCCGCAGTGAAGTATCGTCGGATTGCAATGAACATTATATTTGTAATACTAAATTACTAATACACTTTTTCAGCAGAGATATAGATATAAAATAATGATCAAAACTAAATGTTATCGCAAATGTATAGTTTTACTGTCCAAGTGAGATTCCACAAGCAGGAACTTGATAAAAAGGTACTTCGCACCCAGCTTTTTACAGTAATATTGTTTAATATTGGTTATAATGCAAAAATTTGGGAAGCATTAGCTGTAGGTTCAAAACTGCCGCTCGTTAAAAGAAGACATGACACGCCTTACATGTTTCATGAAGTGTCATCTCTAAATTTTCTATAATCGAAACTATTTTTTTAGACCAATACATTTTGTTATTATTAGTAGTAGTATTATACAATATCTATAAAACGTGTATAAATATAGATTCTTACATTGATATCAGTGGATTATCGGATTTATCCAATCGAGATAGTTAAATTATCAGTTTTAAAGTCTGAGCCTTGGCGAGAACTTTAAAATTTATAATTTAACTATCGAGATTGGATAAATCCGAAAATTCACGAGTAACTATGTAAGAATCTGTTTCTCTAATGATTAAAAAATGCATTTTCATTTTTTGTTAAACCAAAACCCCATTCGAGTGCCTTCCACATTTCACAAAGTTGTCAATTTCATTAACACCTGTTAGCATATTTTGAGCTGATAAAGGTTATGACCCTTAAATTCATCCAATCATCTTCTGAGATCACCGGCAACCACACGTTGATTAAATCGTTTTATACATTGAGTGCAGAAAGGTATAAATTGTCAAAGAATTAGAGAAAGTATAATATAACAAAATACTCTGAAAACATGAACGGTACCAATTTTAATGCACCAGATGCGCATTTCGACAATGTATGTCTCTTCAGTGATGCACGAAGCCATGGTATTTGAATATCTAAAATCTAATACAAATTTTGAAGTGCAGATCTAAACAAAAATGAAAGGACCTAAAAGTATAGCCAGATCCGGACAAGGAATCTGAGGTTTGCATGAGGCAGATTTATTCCTTAATTTTGAATAATTTTTCAAAATTTTATAATAGCAAATTTTAATCAAGCAATATCCGTATTTTCATGCCAGTACCAAAGTTCTGATTACGCGCTTTACACAATAAAAAATAATATAAATTAATTTATAAAATATGTTACTAAAGATAAAATCGAAAGGTTTGAATAAAATAAAGCTACAAAAAATTACATAAATGAGTTACCCTATAACTGTATTAAAAAAAGGGATAAAATACATATTTATATGAAAACCATGTTAAAATCTTTTTAACCTTTTGACTCGTCATACCATCGCAAAACGAAGTCATTATAACTGAATAATTTAGCATAAAACGCCTGTAGCCTTTGCTGTTTTCAGTCTTTATAGAGCTATCTCAGTCGGAATATATTCTTTTGCAATATTTTGTTCAATAAAATGTATGGTATGAAACACCGTCTCAATAGAAATATGTATAAGCTACTGGTAAATTTTCATGAAAGTATCCAAATTCCCAGGTATATTTAAACCCGCAGAAGTAACGTTTGTGTAATTGCAGGATTTCGCTTATGAAAGTCTGCTTCATTTCAACATATTCAAGCAAACTGTTTAAGTTCTGAAATGTATACAGTCTAATTTTAATTTACAAGCACAGGGTTGAAACCACTGCTGGTGGACTGTTAGGGCCTAAAGGTACCAACAGCTTAGTCTTTACTTCGGTTCCGACATGATTTAAACATGCTTTTGTTTTTTATAATTCTCCTTTGATAAATAAATGAATTACTAGCAACCTAATGTCCAAACTCTCTCACCTAAAGATGACCTTTGATAAATATGGCTAATGTTTTTATGTCCCTTTTGGTTATAAAACTCCGCACGTTTTTATCTTTTTAAGCCTTAACTGCTTTCTAATGTTTGGACTTCAGAGTTACTAATCATGGTAAATTCAAAAAATTCGTAAGGGTTCCGCGGAACCCAGTGTCTCGCCTATTTTTTCTGTTAATTGCAGGCTCAACAAAAATGAGGAAGTAAATCAATTAAAATATTCCACTTGATACTATCTTTTGATTGTAAGAAGCTTCTGTCCAAGTTTGGTCAAAATCAAGGATAGTTTATGAATCTAATAAATGTTTAAAAACTTTAACTGCAGACTGAATGTAATGTTAACTGGAAGAAAACAAAATTTTCTTCTAGATACTAGCATTTGATCATAAACAAGCTTCTGTCCAAGTTTGGTACAAATCCAAAATAGTATAAGAAAGTTATTAACATTTTAAAAACTTTAACCACAGAGTGAATGTGTTGTTTCCTGGCAGAAAATCTAAGTCCATTTAAAAGTAAAATACGGAAAAAATGGATTTATTTTTTTACAAAATTTCCTTCTAGATACTAGCTTTTGATCATAAACAAGCTTCTGTCCAAGTTTGGTACAAATCCAAAATAGTATAAGAAAGTTATTTAAATTTTAAAAACTTTAACCACAGAGTGAATGTGTTGTTTCCTGGCAGAAAATCTAAGTCCATTTAAAAGTAAACAAGCTTCTGTCCAAGTTTGGTAGAAATCCAGGACAGTTTAAGAAAGTTATTAAAATTTCAAAAACTTTAACCACAGAGTGAATATTTGTGGACGCCGCCGCCGCCGACGACGACGACGACGACGACGACGCCGACGGAAGGTAGGATCGCTATGTCTCGCTTTTTCGAGTAAAGTCGAAGGCTCGGCAAAAAATGATTTGGACGTATGAAATTTATAAAGCGTTATACAATCAGAAACCTCGCCATGTAAAGAAAATGTAATTTGTTATAGCAAAGTTATAATCGTTTCTTTTGTCGTCTTTCTAATTTATTTTTGGCGACATTATTTATTTTTTAATGGATGTAAAGCTGCCTTGTTTTTATCAAATTGCAATATTACTTCAAGAATCTGTATATAGTACTATCAATTTTCGAACAAAAGTAACATATGAATACCAGTTAATCAAATATACATACTGCCAAAAATCTTCTTGAGCAGTTATCCAGGAAGAAGTCTCATTTAAAGTTGTTTGATTTGACATTTTACTCAGCAATTGGCTGTGGTTATTCAATGAACCACTGTTTTTCACGCAATGAAGGCTATTCCAATCATTATCACATACTGTCCATGGCAAAGGGCTGAGAAATGAGTTACCAATGTAATACAGTGTCCATGCAATTATCATGTTATAGTAGATATTGATGACAAACAACGGAATCGCCATTCCATATCCAACTCCTGTAGAATTTATTTATGCTATGTAATTAATTAATTACTTTGAATTAACATCACTTATTGTTAAAAAAAAATATAACTGATAATACTTCATTTTAAATTAAAATAAAAGCTTATTTGGAGTTATAGTTTATAAGAATTTTTCTTATTGGTTATAAATTTTATTGAACACATGTTTTGTGTAAGAGGACGGGAAGGTAGACCTCATGTTCAATTAAGTCTAAATACGAATAAATATATTGATTTTACCCTTTTTTCTAAATATGTAATGTCGGGTAATTACTTTATGCAAAGGGACCTGATGCACTGATATTTCAAAAATAAAACAATATGGTCCACATCGTAAAGATTAGTTTTACAGATAGTAACAATTATTTGTTTTGATAAATTCATTTATATACTTATTGATAAGGCTTCTTTTAAACAAAAATAGGGATTAAATCATTGTATCACTGTTGAATACTTAATATGCTATAAAGATTAAAAAAAAATTTAACAACACGGTCATTAATATATAACAATTCAGAGAGACACTAGTCAATCTATGTCCTCACGATTTCGAACTATAATAAAAGAAGTTATACACAAAAAAATATTAAGGAAATCATAAAGGACAGTATCAACCAATACTGTAATGGTCAAGCATAATAGTCTTTCATAAGCCATGCTCAACTTGTAAGCAATGTAGCCGTTTTTGAACCACACCTTAATCGTCAAGCATAATGGACATGTTTTACCCATAACTTAATTGTCAAGCGTTTTGGTTAACAGTTTCGGTGTTATTATGATTATTGATACACTCTTTCATATATTTAACTTGTTTGATCTGGTGCGCAGAGTGAATTATAATAGTCCAACATATCCTTTACTTTTTAAACAAACAAAAAAAAACAAACAACACAGACACATGTAAACTTACGACCAGCATTTGTATAAGTTGTCACCTGCACTATGCTAAAATTGGTAAGCAATTGAAAAAAAAAGCACTTCAGTTATAACATTTACCACATCCACCCGTATTTTCACGAACTCAAATTTCTATCACATGCACATTATAAGTAAGTTCTTGCAAGGGTTGTGGGACCAAACACTATCTAAAGTGCAAGCAATTACTTATATATATCTTTATTCTCATAAAGCTAATGCATTACACCGGTACAGAGATAACACATACAACAATAAATATTTACAATATGTACAAAACAAGCGTACTGCATACCCTTGCTTTCAATCTCCATCGTATTAACTAGAAACATTTGCAATACATTTAAATATTTTAAATTATGCACGTATATAATTACCTTTAAAAAGAGGACATACATCCCATACATGTAACAAGCCTTTTCCACTGAATTGTCCTATGGCAGTCTCCAAAAAAAATAACGGCAGTCCACAAAACACCAAGAAAAATAAGAATGGTATCAAAAAGGCACCTATAGAGAAGGAAAAATATGAACTATAAACTGTCGTATTTGCAAGTTACCAATATACATATACAAAGGTATTACAAATCATTTTCATTGTAAATATGAAAAGATTATGGGATGAAATATAGACGTTGGTGACCGGAAAAAGGTTGTACAAGATGCTTTTTTTTATTATAGCTTCTGTTACGCGGACCTTTAACAAATGAAACTGAAAATTCATATGAGACTTTGGAAATCTATAGAACAATATTCATTCAAATGTGGTACATATTGGATGTATTATTTCAAATATAATGTGGACAATGTAATTTCCTTCGGTTATTAATTTAGACGTTTGTGTCTTTGACATTGATCGTTGGGTGTTTATTCAAATTGCTCTGCCTGTCTCAATATGGCGAATGATTTATCTAGAAGGAAAAATATTTGTCTCAAGGATGATTCATAAAATACAAAAAGAAAGGATGGGCCATCAACATCAAAAGATGGCAAATTTTAGAAACGCTTCATCTAAAACAAAGAGTTCAACACTTCACAATACAAGACACAAAAATCTAAAGACTGAGCAACATAAACCTTACCTAAATACTCGAGTATACATCAAGATGCTCCGAAATAGAAAGTAGTTTAAGTTCCACAGCTGACACACCAGTGTATAGTAACCCGTGAAAATGTGTCTCTCTCATTTGGTTTGACATTAAGTCATTAATCTTTTTCAATCGATTAATTAATGGCGTCTTTCGATGGTTCATATGGGTTTTTTTTCTTCGTTTTATGTTATGCCAATATAGCTTTGGCGTCATTAACTCGAAAGACGAGAAGAAACAAAGGAAGAACTCAACCATACATTTTTATAACCAACATTATGGGTAAATTTTATGAAAATGAAGTTAACTGTATTTAAGGTTCATCATAACAAACTGAAAATTAATAATGGCGTCCAAATTGAGGATTGATTGAACCTTAAAGAAACTAATATATGTAACTTATTGTCAAAAACCTATATAATACAGTTAAATTGAGAATATGAATAATACAAATTATATGAAGAATACAGAATAACTTGTTTTGATTAAATATCTGCATAAATTCAAATACCTTTGTTTTTTCTGCCAACACGTCTCAGGAAAAAAAATGATTGAAGAGATTGGAACACTATTTCTAGTCAAATCTATGTTAAATCGATAAATTGTGATCATATCTAGTGGATGCTAGAAATTAAAATAGGATTCCACTTCGAAATATTCATAGCTTGCCCGAAGAAATTGAAATATGAGTGGAAACGTGTTGCAGCCATTTTTTCAACGAGTTTCTTCTGCTGGATTGATGAAATTTATTTTCTATGCGATATTAGCAATCATAAATTATATCATCTTAAAATAAATGACATTGGGAATGATTATGTCTTATCAAGTTTGTAATCAAAGCTGTTATTTAACATTTACCATCTATTTAGTTTCACATGTTACATGTTTGTTTACGTTCCTTTCCATGTCTTCTTTCGCTTTCGTTCTTCATATTTATACGCAGATTTTTAACTGACAATATTTAAATATCGAAACATTTATAAGATTTGTACACAATATTTTAAGTTGAGTGTTATCGTTTTGTACCAGTCTGATCGTGAATAAACTAATTTTTATCATTATTTTAGGGAACTATTTTTTATGTAAGCATATCCGGTTTAAACCGGAAACGTTGTTTGGCTGATCTTTTAGTCTACTCAAACAGAAAGCAAGTTATTAACATCAAATAACAGAAAATATCAACAAATTTATAATGAATAGTGGTAAGATGTGTCCCCACCCATACAGCCCCACTCCCGATTACTTGAGACATGTTTTGATCTCCTGTAAAAGTCCTAAAATTGGTTTGATCTTTACGATCAAGTATGTCAACATCAACAACAATTTTTTTAATAAAATAGCATTTTTTTGGGTTTTTTTTGGTGTCTATCATAGTTAAATGCTATAATAAGAATATATTGTGTATTTATATATAAAAATACTGTTGTAAAGTAAGTTTAGTAAGTAAGAAATATTATGGAAAGCAGTTGAATGTCAAAATCCAAGGTTAGACAACATATACACAATAACAAAGAATAATTTCCAATGGCTAGAAAAATTAAAGATTCGCGACGGTTTGGATTACCATCAGGAAGGTACAGATCAGGACGTAGATGTATAAGGGTGAATTCCGGCAAAGTGAAGACTTTATACCAATGTCATTTGAAAGGAGGGAGTAATATGACAAAACTTTGTATACGTAAACAACCTAAGAGAAGTGCATATAACAGGGTAAGAATAAACCTACTAAGGAGATGCGCCAGGAAGCAGTATCAAGTGTTTAGAACAATTAATGGAGAATTGAAAACTTTTGAGGTACAAAATGTTGCTGCAAATGGTTACAGAATTATAAATTTGAACTGTCTTCAAAAACATATAACAGAACTGACAATGCATGCCGTTTCATGTGAGAAAGCCAGACAATTGGTAGCTGCTGGAAGGGAGCCTATTGTACTTGAATCCCAGGTTGCTCATTATGGTTTAGCAGTGATACTATTAGCTAGATGTCAAGGATGTAAACTGAAAGTTCACATGGAGACAAGTCCAAAACTCAAAACCGATGGGAGTAGACATTATGATATAAATGTGCGAGCTGTTTGGGGTTCCATTGTTAGTGGAAATGGTCTTGCCCACCTCAATGAACAGTTAGCATCTATGGATTCACCTACTATGTCGCAGGTAAAAAAACAAAAGTCATATATAAAAAGATTTATTTACCAATTCTTAACATAATTGAAAATACAGACGACAAAATCTCACATTAAAAACGGAAAATTATAAATAATCAACCAACAGGCCTCTTAATCCTGTTCTTCATCATGACACTCGCTGTAGACAATTCAACAATGAAGGAATCATTCAGAGCCTACAATGTCAAAACGGCCCCAAGCTTTGAACATGTTGAACAAGGGGCCATGGTGGTGAAGTATCAATGTCAGTAAAAATTTCATATGTGAGTTTGAATCTTGCATGTGAGGGGGAATTCAACTTTACAGCCAAGATCTATTGTCATGATTGTTATACTGCTAACTCAAAGGTTCCTGGTTCGATCCACCCTCTGAGTAGAAAATTTTACAGACTAAACTTTCGGCACTCTCTTTAACTCAATTGCCAGTATGGTCTTGAGAAACCATGATAGTACTTCGGTAGGAAACGATAAATGGCTGACCTGTGTTAATAGAGAGCCATATCTCTTACATGTAAAATACAGCCTTGTAGATTTAAAAAAATATAGCAGGCTAATGCCGCTACAATGCAGTACATGTACCCGCAAGCATGGCAAAAGTGGAAACGGATTAATATAAGTTGCAATGACTTTTTTCCAAATCCACAATAAACAAATATGTTTAAACTTAAGTAATTAGAATGACCTTTCTGATAAATAATCATAAGTACATTCCAAAAACACTATGGATTACGGCGGCTTTTGTGCTCTGTTTTCAAATTTGTCAACATTGATGCCCTAATTTATAAATTCAATGTATCAACATGATCAATGTTTTTTTTTCATTTTTTTGCCCCATTTTCCAATCAGTCTACATTGAGGTTCCTAGTACAAAGGATCTACTGTAAATTAATGTTGGATGGTGGCTTTTTAATTTTTGCCCCAATTTTTAAAGGATCCAAAAATTAATGTTGCTACAGCGATTTGAAATTTTGGTCCACATTTACATGTATAAGGGTTTGGATCAATGTTTGGTATTGGGCCCCATCTGTTAATTTTTATTAATTTGATTTTTACGCCAATTTTAACATTTGTCCACATTGATGTCCAGCAATGATCTAACAGCAATGTTGAGGATGGCCTTTTAATTTAGGCCATATTTTGAATACAAAAAGTAGTTAATTTATTCACCTTTTCTTCATGATCATCACATGCATACAAAATACAGTTTATTTTTTTCTAAAACGCTATGCTGTATCAACACAAGTCCAGATATGGAGACATCAATTGCAAGCCTTAAGAAAATTATTAATCAACAAAACAAAAATAAAAAAAATTGAAAATCATATAGTCTTGTTTGGTCATTTAATGTAAATATAGAGGTGTTAACCGAAGGAGGAAAATAATTTACATTAACTTTGAACATGGATTAAGTTATAAATTATGGAAATCATATATCATGTATATTACATGAATATTTATCAGAAGACTGTTTTAAGTTTGTTTGTTTGTTTATTCTTCAACAGAACACATACCAGGTTATTGAAAATGAAATCAATTCCTGGTGGAAGGAAGTGGTAGACCGAGAAATGTCATTGGCCATTGAAGAAGAGAAAAAAATAGCTATAGATAAAAACAGATATCATGAAGGTTAGCACATATATACATGAACACATATTTTGGTTATGTGCCAGTGTACCACTACCAGTTGTTTATGAATTGAAAAAGAATAAAAATGCAATGTAGATGTGAATACATATCATGCATATCAGCTCTACACTGATACAATTACAATTAAAAAAATTAATTAGTACAAAATATATAATTTATTTTATAAAACTTCAAACGATGTGATGTGTTCTTTATAAAAGTTACACAAACACTATCGCTGACTCAACATGCTCAAAGGATTGTTATTGTATGAACTTGATTTCTTTTTCTTTAAAAGATAAAAACATGTCACATCTTTTATGTGATTTGGTTTTGTACAAATGCATCTTTACAACAGATTTATTATTTACTGTAAAAAAGTAATGAACTCCTAATGTTCTCTCATGACACCGTAATAGACCAATATAAATACATGTATATGTATAGCTTAAAAATTATCTTTTTTTTCATCTGACTGTCCATTATAATGTAAATGTACAATATTCCTTATTCTATTATCAGATTTCAATAAATCTTCTTTCCATTTTTAATTTACTGATGAAGTTGTATAAGCTTAATAAACTATTTAAACACTCTGACAAAATTAAGGGGAGATAATTGTTTGCTGATTGTATCATGTAGCATTTGACTGCATATTTAGTAAGTTAAACAGTTTTACTCTTTAATCTTAAAATGTATTTTAAGGCATATTCATATTTTTAAGGAAACTACATATAGTTTTATCCATCCATGATAAATGTGCATGAAGTAACATTCTTAACATATAAACATCATGAAGGGGAGATAATTTGACTTAAGATGGATATCAGTGACTCAATTTTTAAACATTAATTTTCAGGAATTCCATCAGTCACTGTAATATGTGATGGGGGTTGGAGCAAGATATCACATAAACATACATATAACGCGTTAGGAGGTGTAGCCGTTATAATTGGGGCCGAAACAAAACAATTATTACATGTAGGAATAAGAAACAAGTACTGTTACATTTGCAACAGAAACGAATCCCTAGGAACAACACCAAAACAGCACGAATGTTTTAAAAATTGGAATCAATCAAGCCAATCGATGGAATCGGATGTTATTGTCGAAGGGTTTTTAAAGGCAAATGATCATGGTGTAAGATACACGAACTTTATAGCAGATGGGGATTCATCGATGCATGCTCAAATAATGGATCGTGTTCCAGTTTGGGGCAAACATGTTAAGAAATTAGAATGTGCAAACCATATTACAAAGTGCTTACGGTCAAACCTGGAAAAATTAGTTACAGAAAACCCATCTTACAAGGGAAAAGGCAAGTTATGTAAAAGGACAAGAGTGAGAATAGTGAGTGCTGTGAGATGTGCCATCAGAAAGAGGTCTGATGAAACCAACAGAATATTAGCAACAAAGAAATTAGAACACGACATAAGAAACACAACCTCCCACATATATGGAGATCATAAACTATGCAACCCAGACTTCTGTAAAGCAAAATCAAACGTGTCACACCAGGACCAAAATCAAGATGATGATAGTGAAGTTGAATCTGAAGATATATTTCAAGAACAGTCTGAGTTTTGGAATGCTGGGACATCACTGCAAGCCCAAGAAATTCAAGAGGTAATTACAACCTGAACCCCTCAGATCTTCAATCAGGGATGAGACAGGACCTTTCTTTATTATTGAACAATGTTGCGAAAAAATCAAGCAGTCTCATTGGAAATTTTACTACAAACTTAGCTGAGTGCTGGATGCACATTAGGTCAAAATTTGATGGAGGAAAAATGTTGAATCATTGTAATAGGGGTGCTTGGTATACCCGGTGTTATGCCGGTGCATTACGTTTCAATCTAGGTCCTAATTGGTCACCGAATGTATGGGCTCAAAACACAGAAACAACATCTGGTTTATATTTTGATAAGCTGTACCAACAGAGAGAGCAGTGTATTGATAACAACAACAAGAGCAAAGATAAAAAAGAAATTAAGGAAAGAAGATGGAAAAGAAAAATGTCATCTCTAAAAGAAAGCAACAGCAATAAAGCCAAACAACACTATGGTAATGAATCGATTCAACCTGAAACTGATGTTTCAGAAAATGAACTTACAAAATTGAAATACAAATTTCTACAGAACAATATAGAAATAACAACCTCTGAAATAATCCAAATTGAGAAGGACACTAAAAGTCAGGTTTGCAGTGAAAAATGGAAAAATGAACGCAAGAAAAGGCTAACAGCTTCAAATTTTGGCAATGTTTTTAAAAGAAAGCCCAGTATTAAAGTGACACCTCTTGTCCTACAGCTGCTATACAGCAATTTTAAAGGAAATAAAGCTACTAGAATTGGCCTGCGCGAGGAACGAATTACCATACAAGAATATATTAATATCAAAGGAAAAGACAATATTGAGATAAAAGTTGAACCTTGTGGACTTATTATTGACAAAAAATTTAAATATTTGGCCGCTAGCCCTGATGGAAAAGTGATTGATAAAGAAAATAATGAAATAGGACTTATAGAAATTAAAAATCTTGTGCATGACAAAAATCTAACGCTTACTCAGGCAGCAACATCGTTGAAAAATTTTTGTTTGGAAAAAGTATCATCTGGAACGAACACTACTCTGCGACTTAAAAACAACCATAACTACTATTACCAGTGTCAGGCATTGCTACACATATGTGACTTTCCATGGATTGATTTTGTCGTAAGAACACTAAATCCATATGACATATTCATACAAAGAATAGAGAAAAACACTGCATTATGGAAAAAGATGGTACCCAAACTAACAGCCTTCTATGATTTAGCTTTATTGCCAGAAATAGCATCACATCGACATAAGAAATATCCAGGAATAAGAGAGCCAGGAAATTGGGTATGGGTTAATTAAAACATGCATATATTTATTACAATGCAGCAGAATAACTCATACTTGTATGAGGCCTTTTCTCTGTGTGTTGAAGACCGTTTGATGGCTTTTGCCTGTTTTCCCTTCTGTCACATTGTTGACTCTTTAACACATTAGCAGTTTCTATTATCAGATTGTTTCAGAAAGAAATATAAACACACACTATACCTTCTTAAAGGTAAAACTTGATCCTTTTAATTGGGCGATATTGTGTTTGTTGATGTTGACATACTTGAATGAAAACTGTTACATTTAATAAAACCAAAATACTTAAAAGTTTTATTAATAAATACTTTATTTATTTATTGATTTATTCAGGTAAAATATATAATAGAAACAATGGTTTAAGACATGAATTTTTAAATTTTAGTAATATGTGAAATATTGTCCTCATTCATTTGTCATTTGGTGTAAAAAAAATGTAAAAAACACAATAACTTTAATATAACTATGGCATGGATAATATTTTTTTTTATCAATGACCCCAATTCTCGTAAAATAGCAATCCAAATCTAATGGTGGTGATTTAACTAAATTAGCATAAAACATATCTTAATGCAACTTTATTATTTTTCAGTATGCTGATGAAAATAATATTAAAAAGAAAACACCATCATTAAAGAAGAAAGAAGGGAAGAGAAAAGATTTAACAACAGACGACGAGGAAGCACAAGGACCATCTCATATAAATGATCACAAGAAAACAATAAGAAGGTATGCCATATTAAATATCCCCAAGACCCCATTTACTTACATATATAAATAAGAAGATGTGTTATGAGTGACAATAAGACAACTCTCCATCCAAGTGACAATGTATTTAAAGTTATGAATTGTAGGTGAATGTACGGCCTTCAACACATATCTTTGGCTCACACCAAACAGGAAGCTATAAATGTCCCCAAAGTCATTAGTGGAAAACAATTCAAACAGGAAACCAAAGTTTTATTTTATATAAAGAACAATAACAAGAAACACCTATGATGCACACCAACAAGTGACAAGTACTGAACTACCGGCTGATGACGTGGATGGAACATATGCATTTAAATGCATCACATATTTAAGACATGTTCTATCATTACCTATTGTCATTTATACAATTTGTCTGTTTTTCAATAAAAGATTTAGGTCATATACATGTTTCAATATGAATTTTAACAAGGGAAATGAATAATACATGTAAAACACAGGCAATATAGGCTCATATCAAGGATTTGTATAGTTAGTCAATATAACTATACAAATCCTTGCTCATATATACAGTGTCTAGGTATCCCATGAAATTGCCAGATTAACTTTGACATTTAAATATAGTATCATATTTATGAATATTTATTGTATAATTTACCTATGTCATTGATTTATTAATTCTTTGCTATTATAGAAAGACAGGTACCTGTATCACATAGGCTGTTTTATATAGTGGTACCTTTAATGGCATACTGTTTATTGCTTGTGTAACTTCATAGCAAATGTTATATAGAAATAATGGAAGTATAAAAAGTGAACGATAAAAAGTTCCAAACATGACAATATCTGTATCACATGTAAAGCTTTCCCTAGACCAGGGTTGGTATAAATGTATTTGGTGAAGACAACATGTGATACTGTGTAAATCAATATCTGTATAATTAGCACAAATGAATATGTTTTAAAGATTATTTGATTGACTGTATTTTTAGAACAAGAAGAAAATGCAGCCGATTGAAATTTCTTGGTAGAAGAATATCTCATGAATGGATAGAGGAAGATAATAGCAGCAAGTGGTATTCAGGAACAGTCACAGGAGTTTTGACAGAAACAGATGGAGCTGATGGTGCAGAATATGAGCTTTTATATGATGGAGATGATGAACCTCATATAATTGATCATCTTCTTGAAGATTATCGAAGTTGTTCCCTTAAATTTATTGATCTTTAAGGTAATTGTGTGTTTATTTTTGTTGTTGTAATGAAAAACCATATAAAATTTATGTGAAATGCTGGTGTGGCATATAGAATTGCCTAATTTTGATAAATAATACAACCATGTTGTTATGTCAAAGTTTATTAAGAAAATTTCTTGTATAATTTTGAAGTTTTTATGTATAATTGAAATCAAATGTGTCATAGGTAAAGATTTTTTGATAAATTTGACATCAAAACACCAGTATTTAGCTAATTTTATTATTTGTCGTACAATTCACTATTGAACATGGGAAGTAAGATATTTGTTATCATGCATTTACCTACTCTTATTTTGTATTTGAAATCCTCTTATTGTTCATTTCAATGATTTAAATCAATAAGACGAGAGATTGATAATTAAATAAAATTTAACAAAATTGCAGCAATTTGACGAAATCATTATTTTATAACTACAACTGGTCATATACAAGTTTCACTGCATTTTTTCAATACAAATAAAAGCATCGGTTAGTTAATGAGTTACCTTATAATAATCTTTATTGCACAATTTAATATCCAATACCACATTGAGCCTATGAAAAAAATATTAACATCATACATGTATGTATAATTAAGAAAAAAAAAATCTTTTTATTGAGACTACTGTATGACACCATGGCTTAATAGATAACTGTATATTTCTATAAATTCATGATTGATTTCAAAGATGAACATTTCATGTATATTTGTTTTTAATTTTATTAAATATTTATTTCAGAAACAATTCTTAAAGATATTATTTGTTGTCCCTGACAAAGTTTGTAGATATTTGAAATTGACAGATTTCCTGTATATATGTGGTAAGAACTTATTATATTATTGAAAACTATTACAAGTTTGACTAATTTAATGGAACAAGCATATTAATATCCATTTGAGAAGAACACACATGATAAAATAGCTTAATATTGGCTATGGATAATTAAGAGTTACTAAGGGAGGTAATTCAATTTAAATTTTTTTAATTTCAAAGTGTCCATATTTGTGCTCCATAACTTTCATTAAAGTAGTTCCAATATGGCCTTTTTGTGTCTTTGAAAAAAGATAGACATTACATTTGAAAATTAAAATTATCATTGCCTGTTAGATAAATCTTAATTTAAGAGATAGCATCACATACATAGCATACATAAGATAAAGTTTTTTGTTTTTTTGTAGATTTATATTACTGTTTGAGACCAGACCATTTTTTTTAGACAGACAGACTTTGATGGTAAATTTTCAACATTTAGATAGTATTTTGATTGGAATATCATGTGTAATTTCAAAGAGTGATACACGAGGATTAATTTGATGTGTAATATGTATATGTTTTCAAGTGCAATATATTTTTAATATATTTTTTTTTATAATTAAAAAAAATGGTTATGATGAACCTTAAGCTTTTATTCGGATTTTGTATAAAGTTATTCTTGTTATCAAAATATTTATAAAATTTGTCATATAGAGACATCAAGACTATATTTAAATTTACCTGTGTACGTTATTTTATTTAACGCCATTTTGTCCAAGATTATAGTTGTCTTTTTGACATTGTTTTAAATCCCCCCTTTTTTATTTAATATTGTATTTATATTGTATCATACATCAAATTTATTCGTTCAGTGTATGTTTACTTGTTTTTGTTAATATGTCTTTTTAATTGAGTTGAGCTATTTCAATTGATATTTTATATTGTGTCTTTCTATGTTGTAATGTTACACTACTATTTCAGCTTAGGGTGAAGGTTGGCGCCTGTTAAAACGTTTAAACCCGCTGCATTTATTTGCACTTGTCCTAAGTCAGGAACCTGTTTCAGTGGTTGTAGAATTACAATATTGTTCTTTTTGGCGATTTTTAATTGTTAATATCTTTAGTTTCATAGAATGATGTGAATTCACCAAAAGTAACGAATATGTATAAAGAGGTTTTACTATCTCTTTATAGATAAATGTATGATCAATAATCAGTTTAACGTACCGCCGCCATTTCTCATACAGATATACGGAAAACGCCAGAGATTTCCCAAACCAACCATATATCCAATTAGTGATAAAAAATATTCGATCTTTCGATTCCATTGTCCCCTTTCATTATTTCTATCACTTGAAGAAGAACTTTTTGTTGTTTTATCCATTGCTACTGAAAAGAAAATTAAACAAAATAATATAAATAAAATGAAATATGTTTAATATCTTGCATGTTTTATAACTGTAGTTTAATACCCCATTTTCTAAAATTGCATTGTTTTATTTCATTTGTATATACTCATAAAGGTAATTCATTGTCTGAACTTTTGTAAGGATAGTGTTCAACTGTTAATATATTAAACTCCTAGTTTAAGATTCTTTTACTTTGTCTTTTCTATCGATGTTTTTTCCCTTATTTTGATTTATTCTTACACATTGCTTGACATCACAGGTGTTGCAGGTTAAGCTTTTTCTCCGTGTTTTAGAGCTGACTATTACATTATACTTTTGGTATTGTCAAATGCATATAACGAGTTTTTGGTAGTATATTAATACACTTTATCTCTTATTTTCATTTTTTATGCTTGAACAGGAAATAAGGTAGCGATTTTCCCGACACCCCAACATATAGTCACGCAACAAGTAGGGCCTACATGTTGGATTTATAACCGGTACAAGAACACTAAATATATAGTAGAACTGCAAATTAAAACTGTGGGTTACTGTTTTAATGATGGTAAAAAGGCTACATCAATGAGAAAGTAAAATACTACACAAATTACCGAAAGACATCTCAGTTTGTAACACACATCGTCTCGAGTCTCTTAAAGATATGAATAGATAAATCAGGAACCTCAGACGTTTTGTAATTAAAACAAAAGTCTGATAACAACGTTACCATTACGATATGACATACGACAATCAATGACACCAGTTTTGTCTTGAGACCCGCGCATTATCATAACTGTGTCAATGTTAACACTTTTGTTATATATATCATCCCCGCTTCGTTTTTCTTTTTCTTCCTACAATGACAAAATTCATTACTGGTTCTCTGCACAACCCTGTTCAATGACTGCCCTCACTTGTCGACAAATCTTTGAACATGTATTTGTGATTGATTAATATAAAGAAAATACTTCATAACTATTCATTGCAATATCAAAAAATACGTAGATGTTGTTTGATTGTCAATGAGACAGCTATCCACCACTGCGAATGATTTAATGAAGATGCCTGTGTAAAACCTAGATATTATCTCGTATATATACGATGTGTAAAACCTAGATATTATCTCGTATATATACGATGTGTAAAACCTAGATACTATCTCGTATATATACGATGTGTAAAACCTAGATATTATCTCGTATATATACGATGTGTAAAACCTAGATATTATCTCGTATATATACGAAAATATTATATGTATTTCTTTTTAGATATCTTTGCTATTGGTTATGCAATTACACACTAATGATTGTAAAATGCAATGATTTTTGCACAGGGGACTAAGGTAGCATTTTTGAGATATAGACTGCTCGAAGTAGGTTTTCGGAAATGAACTATGTGATGTACAGGCAAAATATTTCATCAATATTTTGTTGACCAAACTATACAGGTCGGAATTTTGAGCCTGTAATGCTCTTCAACTTTATATCTTATTTGGCATAATTATAAACCTGGTATCTTTGATGAGTCTTCTCTTTTCAATGTGATCGCCTTGCCTAACAACTATATAGTATACTTGTAAGAAATGAAAAAAAAATATTTGGAAGCCAAGGATGTATAAGAATAAACTCATCAAGATACAAGGATTCAAATTTTGAACGGCACACGCGTGTTTCGTCTACAAAAGACTCATCAGTGAAGCTCGAATAAAAATAGATAAAAAGGCCAACTAAAGTACGATGGTAAAGAGCATTGAAGACCCAAAATTCTGAAAGGTCCGAAACAGTTATAAGGGGTATACTACCAAAAAGGGTATAAAAATGGCATAAGACGCATCAGGGTTCGAGCTACACTGATGAGTCTTTTGTAGACGAAACGTACGTATGGAGTACATCATTTTAAGTCGGGTATCTATTGATAAATTTAGTTGAGAACAGATTTGAAATACGTTTGAATATAATCAAGTTGATACATTTGTTCACGGCTGACGAATCTTATATCACCGAGTAGACTATTCGCTCTGATTAAAAGCAACAAAGATTATATCAAAACAGTACATTTTTATGTAGATATGTAAAACGTATTCAAAAACGATAATTGATGCAAATTTATTTTGTTGTATACTTAAACCCATTCTCTGGCATCATTGCTTAGTAACGATCGTCGAATGAAAAAAACCAAAAATACTGAACTCCAAGGAAAATTCAAAACGAAAAGTCCTTTATCAAATGGCAAAATCAAAAGCTTAAACACATCAAACGAATGGATTCTATCTTAATCATATTTACTAGTAACTTCCTTTTTCAAACAAGTTTTACTTGAAGGGATTACACTATCGCGTGTGATAAGCTGTTTAGAGAAAAAAAAAATCTATGGCAATACAGACATATAGGATTTTGGAATTCTAACAAAAATTTTGAATGTTAAGTGTTTTGTAATAATGAAAAGAAATTGTATTAAACAATTGTCATGTTTTCCCTATTTCATGAGTTGGATTTAATATTTAAAGAATTATTAAATAAAAATACAAGTTATATAGAAAAATATGAGAGTGATAAAATCTTGCACGTGACGAGAGGGGTTTAGGAAACTATTGCAAACCAGGTAAATCCTATTTGGAGTGACATTGTACTTAATCTATCCAAATTAGGGCCAGAAACGAAGCAAAATGAAATTTTTGCCATAAACATCTTGTGGCAACCGTTTTTGCTGAATATCAATATTAAAAAATTGAAATAATATGAATCTAAATACTTATTATAAAAATTAATAATGATTCATATTTGTATTCATAAAATTGTCAAAGCAACTTACAGTATACACGTTTGATGAAAATAATTACTCACATATGTTTATGCGGTAACTGATTAATTTATCCGTTCTATACTAAAACACCGTCTTCTACGTTAAATGAAAGTTAATGTTATTTCGCTATATAAAATATCTACTGGTCTATATCGTCGATTTAAAAGGCATAAAATTTTAAGTGCTCGTATCAAAATTAAAATCAACACTTTATAAATTTCACGCATGCGAAGCGCTTTTCTGGATTCTTATGAATTTATTGTTCATTTCTCGGCCTTTTATCGCTCTCTCCGAACAAAAATGGTTTTTGCTTAATTTCCTCATATCTTTAAAAAATGTATGTATACCGCTAAGTTATGGAAGTTAAATATACTCTTCTTGATATAAATGTGTCTATTTATTTGAACATATTAATGTATTAAAATAAAAAGATGTGGTACGAATACCAATGAGACAACTCTCCACCAGAGACCAAATGACATCGAAGTTAGCATGACTTGATCAAACCAATTTCAAACCTATTGCACTTGTAGAGTTCAAACTGAAAGCATGACACTTTTTACAAACAATATTTTTTTTAATTTATATAAAAATAAGGAGATGAGGTATGATTGCCAATGAGACAACTATCCACCAAAGTTCAAATAAAGTGGATATAAGCAATTATGGGCAACCGTACAACCTTCAACAATGAGAAAAACCCATACCGTATAATCGGCTTTAAAAGGCCCGACATGACAAATATAAAATAATTCAATTGAGAAAACTAACGGCCTTTTTGAACTTATGTTCATTTAGTTATAAAGGTCGTTATCTGTCATAATCTGAAATTAATTCAGATATATCTTAGTTGACTTAAATGATATTTGCCTACATAGATACTTGTAAGCTGACTGATGTCAGTTGACCCGAATTAAAAATAAACGCATCATACACCATCCATAAGACAATCAATCACTTTGATGTATTTTTTGGGTCAAACCCTTTTCTGTAACATAAATGAAATATATTCACCATTATTGATTAAACAAGAAAGATTTCATGACCTGCACAACAAAAAATTAAAAGATTAAAAAACTGTTTCTATTTTCAGTTTACTTTGACATTTTTCATAGATGATAATGTTTAAATTCATCAGGCAAATGGGTGGAACAGTATAAAAAAACGACAGATTTTTAGAAATTGAAACTTAAAGAAAAAATTGTAATTATATCCAAATTGTCTTTAATGAATAATATAATCATCGACGGTCATGACTAGAAAAATTAATGATAAGGAAAGATATTTTGTCACTTGAATTCAAAAATATATGCAAAATATTATTTAGGTGTTCCAATGAGATTATTCTGTAATGTTATAACATGTTTGTGACGTTCAGTGGCAAATATTTTATGTATGTTCAGGACGAGAATAAATTCACTATAAATACAATAAGTAGGTCAAGTAATAAAGGCCGTCCGAGATGAAGATCGGGGCAATTTAGACTGCCATTTAAAAGTGACAGTATATTGGATAAGGACAGAAATTTTGCCTTGCAACAGGAAACCTACGGACTTCTCAAACAATTGTTGCAAAGTTTCTTAATGTGCAAAGAGCGTGGCACTCTCTCTACACCAGGCATCGGATTTAATGACCCCATTCTGACCTGACGTGGCTTAGTACTTGTACATCCCGCACAGCCAAACGGACTCCCCACTTTAGCAAGGATTTTACGACCGATCAGAAGAAAACCTAAGTGATCATATTTCTATTCCCCAGACACCCATTGGGAGATTTTGGAAATAAATAGTCTGGACTGGAACTAACTGTGAAAAATAATCTTGTCCAAGACATGATGAAAATGAATATTTTGTCCTACGAAATGCAGAACATTGCAAGAAATAGTTTTTAAAAAAAAAGTGAAAATAATTTTCGCGCTTAATAAATTAGCCGTACTATCAACTGACGTAAAATGAATATTCTATCAGCAAACAACCCCCCCCCCCCCCCCCCCCCCCCACCCCCAACCTCCTTAACTGAAAATCAAATGGTCCACTAAAAGGCTATCAAATTTAATCATGTTCTTAAATGAGCAATTTTTGAGCTTTTCTCATATTAATAGGTAAATAACTTAATTCATAATAGTATCATAATCCTTTATATTCAATATATGTAACTTCCTTATATATTCATAATAAAATCCACGTGTTCTTACTATCTAGTTTTATGTGCACTTAACCCAAACAAGATCTACATTGGCTATTGACTTAATGTAGTCAAACACTGTTTTAAACTACATGTAAACATTGATTTTTATCAACGGGACGTAATAGAGTTTAGTTTAAGTGTTGAGTACACTTACACCACACCGGCTTTAGCTCAATGTGAACACGGTCTTCTTAGATACATTTATCTAGTTGTTATTGGCTTTTGACTTGCTTTCAGTAACTTTGAGTATGTACTTTGTGTCTTTTTTGATGTAAGGGTGTATAAATACCCTGCCACGTCCGGTCTGTGTTTTTGTTAGATGTGTTTCTGCTTTGTATCGATCTGATGAGTTAGGCCCTTTTCAACTGATTTTTATATTTTGTTCTTATGGTGTGCTGTTACACCATCTCCAAGGTTAGGGGGAGGGCCAAAATTCTTAATTCGTAAATTGTCAATTTGTAACTTGTAACTTTGTAATTTCAAAATCTTTAGAAGTCTTTATTTGTTTATATAAACATTAAAAAGCACTACATTAACGTAAAAGAAAAGTTTGGAATAAAATACAGTGAATATCATGGAAAAGAACATTCAAAGTATATAGTCATGAATAAAACGCATTTTTATTTTGTGCATCTCCAGGAAATGTCTCCATTTTTTAACTTAGAATCAATACGGAAAGTAAATCCATCAAAAATCAGGGATTTTTTTTCCTATAATGTCCATCTTGTTAGTAGACTTTCAAACTTGTATATGGGTGGACAATTGGTGAGTACAGCTCAATCATTAACGTGTGTATGTAAGATGACCGATAAAATAGTTCAAATTAATTAATTTATTTATTTTTCTATGTTATTAAGTAAATTTGTTCAAATTAATTTCAGTTTGTTTTAACAATATTAAGTAATTTTTTTTTTTTAAAAGTTATGGATTTATTTTTCATATGTTTTTGTATAAATCCGCGCAAATGTAGTAACTTTTCAACAGGTAAATTTCGCGCAAACGTGGATTTTTTTCGCGCAAATGTAGGACGAATTCGCGCAATCGTAATGCGCCGGATCAGACTCGGAATCCTCTCACAGTAGGAGCAATTCAACATTGTTCTTGATTTCCATTTCTAGAACGATAAAACCTTATTTCTTAGGAAGCAAGAATCTTGCAATCTGATTGGTTTATTACCCGGGTGTGAATAACACCCCACCCTAGTTCACCAGGGGATAAAAAAAATATGCCAAAATTTCCCAAAAATATGATTTTTGCCAAAATTATAAAAATTAAATAATAAAAAAATTATATTAAAAAAAATATATGAAATTTTTGCCAAGAAAAAATATGTTCTCCAATATTCCCCAAATAATCAAATTTTCAAGTTTTCCACAAATAAAAAAAATAAGTAGATGATATTTGACAATGCAACGTCCGTGTTGCAAAATGTGTAGTGGAAGTTCGTCATTTTTTTCAATTTTATTCCCGGGAATAAAAATAGTAAACGAACGCTAAATAAGAAATAAATTCGTTATCTTGGTGCAATCAGGGGTGTTTGGAATTTTACACCGGTGTTGAAAATGCATACGACCTTCGGCTGCGCCTCAGGGTGTATATATTTTCAACACCGGTGTAAAATTCTGTACACTCCTGATTACACCAAGATAGCTAATATTAGTAATACCATCAAGACAAATAGTAAATGAAACATTAAGGAGATATTTTCTGTAAAAAAACCACATTTACCTGCTTTACACACTATGTGTACGTACGTCTCAATCCAACATGTCTGAGATCACATAAATATTGTTTACATCACCAAATATTTACTGTATGAAATCCATATCGGTACACTAACATGAAGATTTCTGAATGCAAATGAACGATGACTTTTTATGAAATGTACGTGTTAATACAGCATTATCAAACTGGTTATGCATTGTTTCGTGCTTTGAAAAGTACTTTATTTGAACCCTTTCGTTGTTTTTTAAACGTAAATGCACTGACATATTTCATTTCAAGCCATAGGAATTTTGGTTTTTTTTCACTCGATAAAACAAGGACACACTCGAAAAAACACGGACTGCTCTCGAAAAAACACGGACAATTACATATGAAATTTAATCTCCAAAATGTCCTTTCCAATGCAAAATCAAGATTTTTTGTAAAGTGTATGTATATCTAAGTATATATAGATTCCATGTGCACATTTCCGTTGACATTTGCATTGGTATGTGTATAAAAATGGCTTTAATCTATATTTTGGAATTAAGCATTCTAAGGCTAAATTAAACGTTTTTAAAACAAAATGATGTAGGGTTGATAATATCTTTTTATCAAAAATACCAATTTACTTTCTATGATCTTGTATATAAGGTTCTAGCATATTTTTTCACGTTTTACCAGAAAGAAAGTCTGTTTGTTTACATTTTTGATTATATTCACTCGAAAAAACCCGATCAAATCACTCGAAAAACCACGATCCCAGCCGGACACTATACCTACCGTGATTTCTTATTTTGCCATTCTTCATTTGTAACCATGTCACTTAAATATTTGCCATAGACACACTCAAATTCGTATATTGATGTTTTGTAACTTGAAACATGTCGATTCGTTAAATGTCATCGTTGTATTATTCTTACGATCATTATGACGACAGATGGCGCTCGGTTTTCTTCTTCTGTGTATAATTAAGCCTACTGTAAGTAGGAGCACATCCATATGGTAATATAAATCAATTATGTACAGCACATACATATAAAAGAAAACAAATAGATAAATAATTTTTTTGTTTTTATATTGCATATATACAGGGACTCGGTTTTATTAGTTTTCTGAAGATGACAGGTGGTGCTGCGTTCGAGAACGGATCCCCGGAAACTATATAAAAATAAAG